TCTCATTTTCTCCCACGGAGTAATTTTGTGATACGAAATGGGCTTAAAAGTTACCTGTGAATTTTCTGTCCCCTCATGTTTCAGTTCTCTCATTGCCCTGATTTAAGTCTCAAATCACAGACTCCCTTCCTACTAAGGAGGCTCACTCTGTATCTGTCTCTGAAAGAATTTCAGTGTTTTTAACAGACAGCAAGTTGATTGGAGACTAGGAAACAGATTTGAGCTTTTCTTTTTGATTTTACAAAATATAGATTTTTGTCCTAATGGTAATAATAATAAGGCTCTCCCGTTAATCATCGATTTTCTCGAGCGGGCCCAGTAACGTCTCCATTGGAGACTTTGTTGTTACTGTGTCTGGCATATCGAATACGTCACGGGGAACTTGCCAGGTTCTGCCATGCAGGTGAGATACTCTCGGTAGCTTGCCGGGCTATCCGAGAGGGGCGGAGGAATCGAACTCGGGTCGGCCATGTTGGCTGCGTGCAAGGCAAATGCTCTACTGCTGTGCTATCGCTCCAGCCCGTCCTAATGGTATTTATGGAAAACACATTTGTGTTTAAGACCAGTTGGTTTCCTTTTCTCTATCATCCACCTTTAGGCTCTTCTGCATTCAGATACCAAAAGCATCTATTCAAAATGAAAAACTTCAGTTTGTTTTACTCCTAATTAAAGTTCAAGGGCTATTTATCTGCATAGTGCTTAGGGCCATTCACACCATGCTTCCACATTAACTTAAAAACCATGTCTTCCTCTGATTCCTGCTGAGCCTGTCCTGGTGATCTGTGTTTCTACAGGGCCCTAGAAACACCATCTTCTTGCTTTTTGCATTGACTCACCAGTCTGGTTTGCTGAAAATTACCAGGAGTGACCCTAAGAGCCCCCAAACACTATTTGGGAGGCCCTACTAAAACACACACAAACAAACAAAAACAAACAACCCAACCACTATCTCTCCTTAATATACTCTATGGACGAGGATCACCAAAATATCTCTCTTCTTAAATATACCCATTTATTTTACTACATCTATTGTTCAATTTTTACTTTCTTTCTTTGTCTTGACCATACCTGGCTACACTTTGCTATACTCACTGTTATCCTTCACATTTAACTCCAATTTCACCTGCAGAGATCTTCTCTAACCCTTCCAACAGAGGGAGTGATGCCACCACCAAATTTCTGAGCATTTTTTTCCCTGGACTCTCTTGATCCATAGATGATTTATCTAGTAGTTCAATTATCATTGTTTTATACTCTATATCTGAAAATTCTACTACCTCAAGTCGTTAGGTGAATATAATCCTGTGTGCTAGACAGTTTCTTTGTATGCTTATTAACAACTTTTTGTTTTCAAATTTGTTCATCTAAACATGGGTCCCTTCCTGTAGAAATAATTTGCACTACCTTAGGTCAGAAGTCAGGACTCTGCTCAGTCAGAGATCAAGGATCTTGTGTTGTAGGTAATCTGGGATCAGGCAGTATTTGAGCGTGTGGTTCTTTCTGGATCACCTAGGTCTTGGGACCCCTAGAAATGTCATTCTGAGTTCTTTTCATTTATTTTTTTATTTCATAAAGTAGCACTGTAGCACTGTCGTCCTGTTGTTCATCGATTTGCTTGAGTGGGCACCAGTAATGTCTCCATTGTAAGACTCGTTGTTACTGTTTTTGGCATATAAAATAAGCTAAAAGGAACTTGTTAGGCTCTGGCATGGGGATTTTATAAAGTAGTAGTATATATTTTGTATTGTAGTATATATATTTTGTATTGTTTGTTATGAAAGACTGCTGAAAATGCTACAAAAAGTTTCACTGAAGGGCCATTTAGCCTTTCTATAAGAGATCACTAACATGCTTTTAAAGGTTGAACCTTGTGTGTGTGTGTGTATGTGTGTGTGTGTGTGTGTGTATGTGTGTGTATGTGTGTGTGTGTGTGTATGTGTGTGTGTATGTGTGTGTGTGTGTATGAGATCTGTTATATTATGGTTTTTGGCATATCTAATACGCCACAGGGAGCTTGTCAGACCCTGCTGTGTGGGTGGGATACTCTTGGTAGCTGGCTGGGCCCTCTGAGAGGCACATAAATATATTTCCCTCTACGATTTTATGGAAAATGGGTCGGGAGTGTTTTATGATGTGTCAGAGTTGTGGAAAGCGGCCTGGAGCATGGTGGCAGTTGGGTAATGGAGGTCGGTTGTGGAGGCTGGGTTCCTTGCAGGGGGGAGGGCTCTCACCTGCACCCACTCTTGGGTGCCCCCCCCCGAGTGAAAACCAGCCTGGTGCAGAATCTAGTGGCATGGTTATGGGGTCTCATTCCCCTGACCCTGAAAAAGCCTCCAATTGTTGGGAAAGGCAAGTAAGGAGAGGCTTTTAAAATCTGAGGGCTGGTAAGTGAAATGAGTCAGAAAGAGAGGGACATATGTAGAGAGTCTGCACTCATCTGAGGAATATAAAGTTACAGAATGGGAGACGAACATTCAAGAATTGTTGAGATAAGTACCAGGAGGTCTGCTCCATGGCTTGGAAGCCGGCAGCAGATACTGGGGGGAAAAGGCAGCTCAGATAGTGAAGGGAACTCCAAGTAAAGGGTGTTTGGAGGATTCGATCAGGGTGCGAGATGCATGTTGAAAGTAGACTATAGACCGAACATGATGGCCACTCAATACCTCTATTGCAAAGCACAACATCCTAAAGGAAAGAGAGAGCAAAAGGAAATGCCCTGCCACAGAGGTGGGGCAGGGTGGGGGGGATGAGTTGGGGGGTGGGAGGGCTACTGGGTTCATTGGTGGTGAAAAATGGGCACTGGTGGAGAATGAATACTCGATCATTGTATAACTGAAACCCAAGCACAAAAGTTTGTAAGTCTACAACTGTACCTCATGGTGTTTCACTAATAAAAAAAAATGTAAAAAATATAAATCAAATTAAATCAAATCCCAGGGCTGGGATAAATTGAGACGTTACTGGCTCCCGCTTGAGTAAATTGATGAATAATGGGATGACAGTGATACAGTGATATATATATATATATATATATATATATGTATGTAAAAATGTTTCCCTCTAAGACTGGTTGCCTTCTACTTTGAACCCCATCAAATATGGTGCGGTGCTCTTAAAATATGGGTAGGGTATGTGGTATGAAGTGTCCAGGAATAGGTTCACTTGGGGCTGAGATTCGGTTCGTACATGTGGAGAATGGCTATGAGAATGGTGGCAGTTGAGTTCTGGAGGCTTTGGGCTGCCAGGACTGGGTGCCTTGGGATGGGGAGGGGTCTCATCCACGTCTTTTAGGGCACTCCATCATTCTGCATTCTTATAAGTACTTTACCTTCTGAGTCACACTTTACATTCTGCTTCATTGACGAAAATTGTTGAATTTGTCTTCTAATATTCTAGATCCTCTTTAGAGCTATAGTCTATTTGTATTTGGATCTCTTGGACTTCTTAGTAAATGAAAGATTCTCAACAAACATGTGTTACATGAAAGTCAATAATATAGTTGACTTTCAGAAGACAGAGTGGAAAGTTGAACTCTAAAAGACCACAATGCTGAATGTGGGGTCACTGGAGGATTAAGCAGAAGCAGGAAATTGGGAGTTAGGTATCTATAGACCAGCAGAACAGCCATTGAAAACCATAGACTGAAATGGCCTTTCTCTAGAGTTATTTCTTTTTTCAGCTTTTAGTGCTTTTGAAATATTATTTTGTGATTTCTATAATATAAAGCTGGATACCAATTGTTTCACTCTTCTGTTAAAACAAACTGAGAATCAAATTAGGAAAGTTATCATTACATAAAATGATTTTTAATCAGTTTTATTGGTTTGGGAGTCAAAACAATTTTCACAATCAAGATCACGACCATCCTGCTGTTCATTGATTGTCTCGAGTAGGCCCCAGTAACGTCTCCTTCGTCCTAGCCCTGAGATTCAAGGCTCTTTCAGGGTTAGGAGAATGAGACCCATCATTGTTACTGGTATTTGGCATATTGGGTACGCCACGGGAGTTTGCCAGACTCTGCTGTGTGGGTAGGTTACATTCAGTAGCCTGCCAGTTGTCCAAAGTAAGCATGAGATAATTAGATGTCCAGGAGCTGGGTTTTTTAGTCTCTGGGTCTTGGCCATTGATGGGATTACACGGCGCCAGAGGGCCAGTTGGTGGATGTGACCCCTGCCTACTGGAATATGGAGGATCTGGGAGGAGGATGCTCAGCCCCGATCCGAGCAGGCTTGGAGATCTCAGCCCCGGAACCCGCATGCCTTTGTTCCTCTGCCGATACTTTCATGCATGTGGAGAGTAGTCTCAGCTTGATGGTGGCTGGTTCTGGAAGTCTTTGGCTTCTGGAGCCCTGGTCGGGGCAAGGAGGGAAACTCAACGTGCCCCCTTCCAAGGGGCCCTGGAGAGGACAGCCAGGCACGGGTGCAGGAGACTCTGGGCTGTTCTCTTCCGGGATCTGGGTTTTAATAGTCCTGCTCTGGTTTCTCTTCAGATCGTATAAAACAATTTTCAATGAGGGAAAATATGTAAGTTCCCCAAGTGCAATAAACGTGTGTGTGTGTGTGTGTGTGTGTGTGTGTGTGTGTGTGTGAAACTGAGGATTAAACTCAATGCCTCATATATGCAAGGCAAGTGCTTTATCACTGAGCTACATCCCCAGACTCTTTTGTATGTCATCACTGGTTATCCATTTGAACCAATTATTGTCTACAATTTCTTTATCTTCTAGTCATCTATATTCTAAAGAATAGCTGCATCCACAGCTTTAATTTTCCCTATTGCAGTGATTCGGGGACTTAAATTCCAGCTCCTTCCCAGTCTTTGAGGGTATTCTTATCTTCTCTGACTGAAGACTCTGATTCTACTGGAAGAGGCTCCTTTTGATCTTGACATATATGAAGAAACAGAACCTTCTGCTGTGGCTAATCTTCCTGAGTTGAAAATCTGTGGAAAAAAATTCTTTGAATCCTAAGCCTGTCTCATACATGTATTATTTTCCACAGCCGAAAGAACCCTCTTGGTCTCATCATTGCCCTGGATGAGAAAAGACAAGCGAAAGGTGAACTCTTCTGGGATGATGGAGAATCGACAGGTGAGCGCTATTACTGCCATGTTGCTACACCCAAGCCTGCATCTTTGAGCTACTCCACCACTCCACAATGGAAGAAATCTCACTAGGCACAGAACTGTTAACCATTCTCGAGAAGTTTGGTTTGAGGTGTAATGCCTAGGGGTGGTGGCACAGGGACCAAAGGTGGAAAGAAAACACATGTCTACCTCTTAGAATTTTTCCACTGCTGAGTTATGTAGTTCTAGGTTTTCTTTGTATTGCCAAAGAACTTCTGAGAGAGAGGCATTACTCTTCCTGCCATTTTATTTGCAAATAAGAATCTTTTTTTTAATCTTTTTTAAAATCTTTTTTAAAATCTTTTTTTAAAAAATGCCTCTGTGGCAGGGCATTCCATTTTGTTTTCTCTCTCTTATTGGGTGTTATGGTTTGCAAAAGAGGCAATGGGTGACAATCATGTTTGGCCTATAGTCTACTTTAAGCATGCTTCTCCCATCCTGGGAGGATCCTCCCAACACCCTTTTTTTTTGGTGCTCCCTTCTTTATCTGAGCTCCCTTTTCCCCTAGCATGTGTGGCTGGCCTCCACGCCATGGAGTAAAATTCCTGGTACTAATCTCAGACATTCTTGGGTGTTAGTCTCCTATTTTGTTACTTTATGTTTCTTTCTCCAAATACTTGTGAACTAATGTAAACAACCTGAAGGACACACTCCTGTTAGTGAAGCACTAACTTTGCATTCTTAGCACCCCTGTTAAGAAAGCACTTTGTGAAGGTGCCTCGATCTAGCTGTGGGGCACCTTAGCCATGTTTCATACTGATGTTACTATAACTTAAGCATAGGGAACGGATTCACCTAAGACTCCAGTGGAAAATACTTGAAGTTGAAAGAAAAGGTCAAAATGAGGCTTGGCCTTGGTCTTGTCATTCATCAGAGGTAGCTTCATGGAGAACCAGGGTAAAATCTGTTCCATCATGGCAAGCAGACAGCAGTGACTCACTTTTCTCTCACTTTCAGGTACTTTGGCCCAAGACAAACATATCTTCTATGAGTTTTCTCTCATCAATGTGAGTGCTGTGTGTTCTGTGTTGTATTTGTTATTGTTGTTTTTGGCCTCAGCTAGTGACACTTGGGGACTACTCCTGGTACCATGCTTGGGAAGCATGCTATTGGTGTTGAGGAGTAAACCCTGAGGTCCTGCATACGAAGCATCTGCTCCAGTCGTTTGAGTGATCTTTCTAGTCCACAGTAGCATATTTTTATAAAATTTGGGTGTGAGATTTGTCTATTAGCTCATGTGTATAATTATATTCTTATCATATGTTTTTATGACTACAGATGAGCACATTTTAATTTATGATTTGGCTCATAATACTTGAATCTCAATGCAGTCAGTCTTTAAAAGTTCTGTTTTAAGAATGGTTGTCTATGTTGCTATATATCTCTTATCTTTATCCTTCACATATACATGGATTATTAACTTATGCTTTTATTTACTGAGTAAATATTAGTAATAACATGTAAAAGCCATTAGAAAGCTTTGGGTAGCTGGCCTAAAATATATTGTTTGAGAACCTGTGTGTTATTGGTAAACACTTGTGCTTGTTTTATAGAACCGCTTGGATATGAAGCCTTTGCCTTCAACCTACAAAGATCCTAATAATTTAGAATTTCAAGATATTAAAATACTCGGGATCACACGTATTATTAATGTAACAGTGAAGCACAATGGTGCTCCAACTCAAATGTCTCCTGAAGTCACTTATGATGATAAACTACAGGTAAAAGTCCATTTATTGGGATAGCCAATTAGGATTTTCATAGTTTACAATGTTCTTTTCTGACAAAGTTACATGAATTCTTGATGGACTAAGGCATGCTTTAATACCTGATTAGGAAAGACATAAGCTTTGGAGAAGAGGAGTGACTGGGTTAGAATGAATTAGAGAGACAGTGCACATTTCCCCCCATTTTGGAAGTGGGGCTAGCACTAGTTCAGGTCTCAGCATTGTCAGGATTGAGGATGTTTTTCCTCTGTGAACTTCTTAGTTATAGCTATAATGGAGTTGGTTACAGGAGAATAAAAGCGTGTTCAGGGAGGAAAAGTTAAAATAAGGAATAGACTCCTAAAGCAAGGGAGTATAGATTGGCCAACTCGTCCAAAAACCCATAGCTAAGCTCTGTGAATTCAGCAGTTAGTTCGTTTCTGAAAATTTTGTTTTCCAAAGAGAAAAAAGTGACTAAGAGGGAAAATTTTACATGGGGTGGGCAACTATCAAAGTGTTCAACAAGTATGCATGGTTTTTCTAAAAGGGGCATTTATACAGATGAAACACTCAAACTGAGAAAGTAGAACAAACCCATCTAAGGATTCTAAGGACTGAAAATAGCTTGTGTTAATCCATAAGTGTACAAATACAATAGGCAAGATTCACTTTTGGAAAAGGATCAGTTTGGATTGAATTTGTGATCAGACTTCGAAGGGTCTAAGTGATCTCAACCACTGGTCCATGGACCCGTACTGATTTGAAGTTGGGGTTGAAAACCCCTAGTTAGTTTGCTGCCATGGTTTTAACTGCCAGTCCACAGACCAGTAGGTAGAACAGGTGTGCTAGTCTGAAGATGTAGCACTGTAGCACTGTAGCACTGTTGTCCAGTTGTTCATTGATTTGCTCGAGCGGGCACCAGTAACGTCTCCATTGTGAGACTTGTTGTTACTGTTTTTGGCATATCAACTATGCCATGGGTAGCTTGCCAGGCTCTGCTGTTTGGGTGGGATACTCTCAGTAGCTTGTCAGGCTGTCAGAGAAGGACAAGGAATCAATCGCGGGTCGGCCGCATGCAAGAGAAACACCCTACCTGCTGTGCTATGGCTCCAGCGTGGTTCAAGAACACTGATCTGAGGTATCCAAACTAGAAGGATCTATCTGACCTTGTCAGTTCTTGCAAGTTCTGAGCATGCCTTTCCTTGCTCTCTTTCTATTCATACAGATCGCCAACATCAAAAAACTTAATCTTGCCCTGGGAGAAATGTATACCTTGGAGTGGGAACTATATACAAGGAATGAAGATAAAATAGACTGCTACCCCGACCAGGATGGTGCCACCGAGGAGAAATGCATTGCACGTGGTTGTATCTGGGAGGTAACCATTGTGTTAACTGACATTAAGGCCTTTATACTTTATCATTTTGTTAGCATAGCACCAGTTCCCATGTCACTCCTTAAAATCCTTGAAAAGAAAGGAATTCTGAAAGGAGTCTAAATTTTTTCTTCTGAATGTGAAGGATCAGTAAGAAGAGGGAGGGAATGTGGAGGGGATGTTTTTATTTTTACACATATTTTACATGATGACTAAGAATTCAAACTATGTCACTACTGAGGAGTGCATTTGATACAAGGAGATTCAGACTAGGGATATGCATCAGTGATAGAATTTCAGGCATTGGGCTTTCCTTCCTATAAATGGTTTTCCTTCCTATAAAATGCCTTCTCTAAACCCTTTTATCTGGTCATCCTCAGACTGTTGTGAAACTAACTTTGACTTAACTTTCCAGGAAACCAATGCTGAGCGAGTCCCTTACTGCTATTTTAACGACAGTCTATACAATGTCCACAATATTCAGAAACTACAAAACGGGATTACAGCTTCCCTCACCATAAAGCCCCAGGCTCGTGCTAGTGCTTTCCCCTCAACACCTGTGACACAGCTCAGTCTGAGTGTCACCTACCATAAGAATGAGATGCTGCAGTTTAAGGTAAGTATTTACAGTATAAATGTCAAGTATTAGTGACAGTTTTCTAAGTTCCACAAAGCTTTGCTAGTCATTGTGACTGAATCCTGAGAGAAGTGTGCTCTTTTAAGCTTTCCTGACTGCCATATCATTTTCTAAAAGCAATCAGAGAACAGGCAGATCTCTTCCCATCTGGCAAGTACTAATGCAGAAAGAAAATGATCAGGAGGGCAATAATGCAAAAGGAGAGTCATATTAGGTGGTGATGAGTTGGTTGATTCATGTGCGGCATCCAGCTGAGTGAGACCTGATACAGGGAAAGAGATACAGAACAGTGTTCAACTTTGGGAGAGTTAGGAAGTAGGATGCTAGGATTTGGTGACTGATCATAGATTGGTCAGCTGAGAGAGGAAAGAGCTGGAAAAACACTGGGTCCCTACTTTGCACCTCTACACAAGGTGGTAACAAGGTGGTAACATTCATTGGTCTGGGATCATTGAAAAGGTTTGTTTGGGCTTATGTAAAATAAGACTGAGTTCCATTTTAGATACTGAATTTGGGGGATCTGTGAAAACAGCCAGAACAGTGTAGTGATCTTTTGGTTTCTAGGAATAAAATATAATACCGATGGACTATCTTTACATCTATTTTTCTGCAAAATTATTTTTCAGAGGCAGGTATTTGTCCTTTCATCTTTACATTTCTGAACTCTGGCATAGCGTATGTTCGATAGTTAGCATTCAGATGTTTATTGAGCGAGTGAGGGAATGAATGAAGGAAGCCAATGTAGCTTGCCTAAAAGGTTCTCATAATCTCATACTAAACTGTACTGGTTTCTTTTACAACATCTCATCAAGGATGATGCTCTTTCAATTCGCCATAAAGGTGATCATCATAGTGCTGAGACAGGGGAGGATTGAACTGGGCCTGAAATAAATAAATTTGCCTAAATTCCGTGCTGTGCTTCTTCACCACTGTTTAGTCTGACTATATAGTAGCTCTCTCCACAATGTTTTCCTCTTTCTGATCTATTTTAATTCTCTGTGTCTTTGCATGTGTTTTTCTATGTGTTCTTTTTTTCTTTATTTGGTTAACGGTTGGAAGTTTTTTGTACTCAGCCTATATTTTCCCCTCTAAACTGTCCCTGTTACCTAGATATAGCAGGAGACATTTTCTTCCCTCAGTCCATAGAGTCCTATGTGGTGGTCCTTTTCATTTTCTTTTTTTTCTTTTTAAAAAATTTTTTTAAATGTATTTATTGAATCACTGTGGGAAAAGTTACAAAGCCTTCAGGTTTAAGTCTCGGTCATGCAATGATCAAACACATTTCCCTTCACGAGTAATTATTTTTCAACACCAAGAACCCCAATACACTCCTCCTCCCACCCCTCCCAATGCCTGTGAGGCAGATGAATTCTAGTTAGCATTCTGTCTACTTTGATTAGATTGTTTCGACAAAAGATGCACCATTATTGTTTAGAGTTTACACCCCAAAATCGGACCTGCTGAAAAGGCATTGCAAAATAATTTGTTTTCTACACCTGGTTACAAGAACCAAATGATGTCTCGCAGCCACGAGTTTGGATTTCTGATATTTTACTTATTAAGCCTGGAAGTATTTCTGCCGAGGGCAAGATAATTATGAGATTGGTTTCTGTGGCTCTGGAGCCATGGAGCCATGGATTAACGCATAGTCCATTCACTTTTCTGCTGCAAGCTTCTGGGCTCTGCATTAAGTCCTTGTGCTTCTGGAGCCATGGCCGTGCCAGAGAGCAGCTCGTGAGTGGCAACCCGTGACCTCAGTAGGGCATGAAGGACGAGCCAGGAACGCCCCCCTTCCCATGTCCTTTTCATTTTCTTTTGGTGATCATTCTCTTCTTAAAGACAACATCTTCTTCAGTTTAGTAGTATGGCAAGCAGAAATAAAACGGATACATAATGAATCAATTTAGCAAGGGCAGTAATTTTTCTAATCAAAGTAGAATTAATGTTTTTGGAGGGTGTTCTTTTTTTTCAGTTTGGAAATTTTCAGGTATTTGTATATACTTGTGCATTTAAATATGATGCACTGAAAACATATTCATATATACATAAGCACCAACTAACCAGTATCAAAATGATTGTATTTCCATATTAATACATTCCTTAGAAATAAAATGCAATAGATTTGAATCATGTTAATTCTGATATTATTCTTTGGCATGTCAATAAAATCCAAATGAGCATGAAGGTAAGGCCGTCAGACTTTGTCAAAAAGGTCAAAATTCTATGAACGGTAGAGATTTCAAAAGTACTGTTCTCACCTACAGTCTATTTCCTCTATTCTAGATTTATGATCCCAACAACAAACGCTATGAAGTCCCAGTTCCTCTCAACTTACCCAATACTCCATCCAGCACCCCTGAAGGTAGACTTTATGAAGTCGAAATTGCAGACGATCCATTTGGGATTTTAATCATTCGGAAGAGCACAGGCACCACCATGCAAGTATCTCCATGTCTGGTTTTGGAATTGGTGTTGATTAATTGTCTTTCTACATTCATGTCACTGCAGGTCATATTCTGAGTCAAAACATCACATCGTCCATCCTTTTATGTCAATTCTTTTTGTCAAGAAATGTTCAGCCCACTAAGTGTAATTACCAAGGCAATAGCAGAGACCTGGGGATTCATTTAAGAAATGTTGTAGAAGGTGGTTGTAGAAAATGAGTTCTCTCTTCTCATGACCAAAGAAAATGTAATTAGCAAGTAACAAATATAAACTCAAAATCTGCACAATGGAGTTTAAAATTGTGCAGCTACTATGTAGGAAAAAAACCTGGTGACCCTAGGATGCTATACTTTTGATGCTATGTTTAAAATAAACCTCTTTAAGGAAGTGACATTAAAATAGACCTGCTCAAATGAATGATTTTGTGTTTTGGAGGCAGATGCCAAGAAATTAATCACTGGGTCATATGAAAGTCAAATATATATATATATATATATATATATAATGTTGATACCTATATGTATTTTTTGAGAAGTCTCCATACTATTTTCCACAGAGACATTGGCACCAATAGTGAATGGTCATGGTCACGGTCCTCCCGTTGTTCATCGATTTTCTCGAGCTGGCCCAGTAACGTCTCCATTGTGAGACTTTCTTGTTACTGTTTGGCATATCGAATACGTCATGGGTAGCTTGCCAGGCTCTGCTGTGCGGGCGAGATACTCTCAGTAGCTTGCCGAGCTCTCTGAATGGGGCGGAGGAATCGAACTCGGGTCGGCCATGTTGGCCGCTTGTAATGCAAATGCCCTACCTCTGTGAAGATTCCTTTTTCACTGCATCCCAGCCAACACTGATTGTTTCCATTTTTTTTATGTATACCATTTTCCATACTGTTAAATGGTATCTCATTGAAATTCTAATTTGTATTACACCAGTAAATTACAATAAACATGCTTTAATTATGCCTGGTGGCATGGTTGGCCATATGTCCCTTTGGGGGAAGTATTGGTTTATCTCCTTTTCCAATATTTTGATGTATCTTCTTTTTTGATGGGCCTTATTTTGTTGTTGTTGTTGAGCATTGGAGTGCTTGATGTAGTGTGGATATTAGTCTTTTATCTGATGTATGGTGTAGAACTGTTTTCTCCCATTTATAGGAGTGGTTTTTACTTTTGACCCTGTCAAACTTTTGTAATTTGATGTAGTACCCATTTTTGTTATTTTTGCTAATGGAGTCTAAAAAATGACTTCATATTTGGAGAATTCTGCAGATATTTTTCCTTCACTTGTTTTATGAATTACTAACATTTTCATTCAACTTTGAATGAATTTTTGTGTATGATCCAGTATCATTGCTGCACTGAGTGTAATAACTAGGATTTAAAACGATTTACATATCCAATGACAGATAAATGAATGAATATAGAGTATATCATGTTAGGTCAAATAACTCAAATAAGTCAGAGAGAAAGGGCAGTATCAGATCTCAATCACCTTTGGTATGCAGAGCAAACCACAGCAAAAGACAGGGAGTGGACAGTATCTAACACTGACAAACACCTAGCCTTGGATTACAGGACTGAGATTATGTAGTTGATGTCCGGTAAGGGGTCGTAGGGGAATGAAGAGATAGACAGGAATTAATGTATGAATATTGGTGGGGGGTCTTGGGTACTTTGTTGGTGGTGAGGTTTGATAAATGTTAACACTATTGTAGACCTCATACCTAAATATAATCAAATTAATGTTAATAACGATCACGTTCATCCTGTTTTTCATCAATTACCTCGAGCAGGCACCAGTAACGTCTCCTTCATCCTAGCCCTGAGATTTTAAAAAGTGCCATATTCAAAGCTCTTTCAGGGTTAGGAGAATGAGACCCATCATTGTTACTGGTATTTGTCATATTGGGTACGCCACGGGGAGTTTGCCAAACTCTACCGTGTGGGCAAGTTACATTCATTTGCCTGCCAGGTTGTCCAAAGTAAGAATGAGATAAAAAAAAAAAAAGATGTCACGCAGCCATAAATGCATTCATGCGCTTCCCGGAGCTAGGTTTTATAGTCTCTGGGTCTTGGCCGTTTATGGTATTACATGGCGCTGGGGGGCCATGTTAATAACATTGTTATAGCAATGTTAATATATGACTTAGATAAGAACAAGGCTCCACTACATGGTGATCTAGGAGAAGGTTGGTAAACTTGAGATAAACGTATTAGTAAGTGCCCAGAACCAAAGACAGGAGCAAAGCCAGCATGAAAAGAGGGACAGAAGTCCAATCTATTTGAGCTAAATTATGAATAAGGAACTTATGTGATGGGAAGTGGAGCTGGGAATTGTGTGATTCATGTGATCGATGAAAAAAATCACTAAGGACTATAAACCAGGGAGTCATAGAGAAGAGGCGCATCATTTAATTTTTGACTTCTGTCACTCTCAGTAATGCTCGGGCCTGGCTTAGACATGGCTCTGTGTGCCAGGATCGCTCTGGCCATATTTTGGGGTGCATATGTGGTGCTGGGAATTGAACTAGGGTTGGTTATGTGCAAGACCTTAATGTTTATACTGTCTCTCTAGCCCTAGAGAAGTCTCTTTAAAAATATCTTCCTAGGGGATCAAGAGCAGTCCTTTGAGTGGAAAGGAGTGCCAGCAATCAAAGATGTGTAATAAGACTTGATATTCTGAAGGGAGAACTGAAAAGAACTAGCAGTCAAGGAAAATAAAGCAAAGGCTGTCATTGTCACTGTCACTGTCCTCTCATTATTCATCGATTTGCTCAAGCGGGCCCAGTAACATCTCCATTGGAGACTTTGTTGTTACTGTGTTTTGCATATCGAATACATCATGGGTAGCTTGCCAGGCTCTGCCGTGAGGGCGAGATACTCTCGGTAGCTTGCCGAGCTCTCTGAGAGGGGCGGAGGAATCAAACTCGGGTCAGTCATGTTGGCTGCATGCAAGGCAAACGCCCTACAGCTGTGCTATTGCTCCAGCCTAGTTCCTGTATTTTTAGCCAGAACAATTATTATTATTATTATTATTATTATTATTATTATTATTATTAGGGGATTGGGGGCTACACCTGGTGATATTCAGGGTTCACTCCTTTCTCTGCGCTCAGAAATTACTCTTATGTATCCTCTGGGGACATTGGGGACAAAAGCAATCAAATTCAGGTTGGTCACAGGACAACTATGATTATTTTTATCAAATAGGCTTCCCTCCCCCTGTATTTTGAATAGGAGGAGAGAACCAAAAGTCTGATTGTCCTTGGAAAGTTAACTGCTCAAAATCAATAGAATGACTTTTTCCTAAATATGCCCTTTTTTTGGTGTGTGTTGCAGATGGGACTCCCGCGTCCTTGGCTTCACTTTCAATGACATGTTCATTCGTATCTCCACGCGCCTCCCCTCCACCTATCTCTATGGCTTTGGGGAGAATGAGCACACGTCTTTCCGAAGAGACTTGAACTGGCGCACCTGGGGGATGTTTTCCCGAGACGAACCCCCTGGGGTAAGAGCAGAGCCTCTGGCATCCCGTGACTTGGCTTCTCTTCACCCACATAGAATTCCCATCATGCTCTGTCTTCCAATACTCCACTTGGAAGGTCATGTTCTGCTTATAGACATGTGGGACAATTTTTAGACTCCTTTGCTTATTATTTATTTCACATAAGTCTAGATATAACTACTCTTGTGATTTTGTTGTTTCTCTCCCTGGCAGTCCCTTCTAACCAACTATCTCACATGACTCTCTTAGTACCTGAAGAATTCTTATGGTGTCCAACCCTACTACATGGCCATGGAGGAGGAGGGCAATGCCCACGGGGTGCTCCTGCTAAACAGCAATGCCATGGGTAAGAGAATGCGAGCATCTCCCCTTGTTTTTTGTGAAGAAATCCTTCTTGAGGAATTTTAGTGTGTGTTTAATCTAGATGCTCCCTGCAGCCAAAATTATTGTCTTCTGGGCGGTTATTATTATTATTTTCTTTCTGGATAATCTTTCTATTTATTTCTATTCAGTAACATGCAACAACAAAAACCAGCCCAACTTTTACTTGGCTAAAATTACAAAAACAGGAATAGCAAAACTAAGTGAACACTTAAAAACCCAAAGGACTTTAGATCCAGTGAGAGATGTTGGTGTATTTTGAATTACTGGTGAAACTGTGGGTTAGAGTGCATACTCTGAGGGACTTATGGGATGAAGAAAATTTGTATGGTATATTGAGAAAAGGGAGGAAAATCAGGAAGTGGTGTGTGAAAAACATACACATGAAAACTGGGGACATCTAAAGTTCTCTAGCTGATCAATTGTATTCTATTATGTCAGCTTCTTGATTTTGACAATACAGGATGGTTATGTAAGAGGAAAATTTTCTAAGACTTAAGTTATTCTAAGTTACAATAATAATATAAAATGAGCTGGCTTATCAGACATATTCAATAAAACACAGCAATGGGGAAAATCCAGGTAGGACCATGTTACTGACTTTTCAACTCTGTGTAGGTATAATAAAAATACTTCCTCTTAGTATTACATATAATACATGTGATACTTAGTATTACATGTAATACTAAGGAAGTGGGAGAACATAGAATGAATTCAAGGGGAATCCCACACCTTGAAACTTTCTAACCCGGTTGGTACTTTCCTATAATTTCAGATGTGACATTCCAGCCCATGCCAGCTGTAACATATCGTACCATAGGAGGAATTCTGGACTTTTATGTGGTCTTGGGGCCCACTCCAGAACTTGTCACTCAGCAATACACTGAGGTAAGTTTTAGTTTAATTGATTACCATGTGTTTAGATAATATTTTATGAGTGCCCACACCCATATTCATTAGTACAGCTCTCAAATAGTAACTGGAATTGTTGATGTTTCTGAGATACAGGTTTATAGATCAAGCAACACAGCAACAATAAGTGAAATCCAAATAAACATCCAGTTCTTATCATCTCAAAGCCTCTGAGAGTGGCATAAATAGTAGTAATGACATTGGTTGTGGAGGCCATAAAAATAGTGATGGTGATTGTGGTGGTAGATGTGATAATGAGGAATGATGGTGATGATGATGATGGTTGTGGTGACTGTCACAATGATGGAAGCAGTGGTTAAGATTCTGGCCATGATGTAGTAATGGTGATGGTGTTAGGGATGATAGAAGTGGCAGTAACGAAAGATTTGATTGGTGACTCTGTTGGTCATAGTGACCATGACAGCTGTCTTGGTGGCAGCAGTAACTTATATGTAAAACCTATGGAATATCTCTGAGATATTTGCTGAATATCAGAACATTTTTTCACTTATTTCATCATCCTCCAAACCAGTATGAATCAAATACTGTTATTATCTCTAACTGTGGAAGAAGAAACTAAATGTATATAAAGGATAGTTAAATTTTTCTGAGTCATATTAGCCAACAGGATGGAGCCTGTTTGTAACCCAGGCCCTTTGGCGTTTAGATTCTGTTATTAGCTAATATGTTAGGATGCTCCTAGATATCAGAATCAGACCATATTTCTCCTAAATTCTACAGAGTGTAATCAAGCCTAGTAGGATGCTTTCTCCCAGATGAGAGGAGCTTTGCACACTTAATTTCTCTCTAGAATTAAATTTGTTGACTCTCAGACTTGGGGCACTTTTTAAAAAAATTTATTTATTTATTTATTTATTTTTTATTAGTGAAACACCATGAGGTACAGTTGTAGACTTACAAATTTTTGTGCTTGGATTTCAGTTATACAATGATCAAGTACCCATCCCTCCACAAGTGCCCATTCTCCACCCCCACCAATCCCAGTATCCCTCCCACCCACCATCCCCCCATCCTGCCCTGCCTCTGTGGCAGGGAACTCCCTTTTGTTTTCTCTCTCCTTTTGGGTGCTGTGGTTTGCAAAAGAGGCATTGGGTGGCAATCTTGTTCGGTCTATAGTCTACTTTCAGCAAGCATCTCCCATCCTGGGCGGATCTTCCCAGCACCGTTTATTTGGTACTCCCTTCTCTATCTGAGCTGTCTTTGCCCCTAGAGTGTGCAGCTGGCCTCCAAGCCATGGACTGAACCTCCTGGTATTTATCACAGCTATTCTTGGGTGTTATTCTTGGGGCAATTTTAAAGTGCCCCTTTTCTTTTGTTTTCCTTAATACAGACCTTCCCGTTTAATTACTAATATGGTTTATTTATTTTTCTAGCTAGTTGGTCGCCCAGTGATGGTTCCTTACTGGTCCTTGGGATTTCAGCTCTGCCGTTATGGATACCAGAATGATTCAGAGATTGCTGATTTGTATGATAGAATGGTGGCTGCCCAGATCCCCTATGTAAGTTCTTAATCTGTGGTGTGCTAGCTCTGAAACCTCCTAAGAGCCAGTACTGGATTCATTTGTTTGATTGGGAAGGGAGCTAGTCAATCAAGTTGCAAAGATCTTTCTCACATAATACCATGAAGAACTCACCCCAATCCAGCATTTCTGGGAGATTACTGTCCCCATCTAGATTCATGTGATTCACCAAGGGAGGGACCCTTATAGCCAACCAAGGGTTCTTTTTTTGTTTTCTTTTAAAGAATATTCTTTTATTTTTTTATTTTTTTTTGCTGGGGTGTATTTTATTTTTAATTGGAAATATTCAGAATTATAAAAAGAGGTATGTATTCAGCGTTTACTCACCAGGAAAATTCTTTTTTTTTTTTATTTATTGAATCACTGTGGGAAAGGTTACAAAGCTTTCAGGTTTATGTCTCAGTCATGCAAATATCAAACACATTTCCCTTTACCAATACCAATACTTTACCAATACTTAATACTTATTTTTTACCATGAAGAACCCCAATAAAACCCCACCCCCCACCCCTCCCCGTCCCTGTGAGGCAGATGAATTCTAGTTAACACTCTATAAAGAATATTCTTTTAATTGAATCACAGTGAAATACACAGTCACAAATTTGTCCATGATTGGATTTCAGTCATATAATGTTCCAACACCCGTCCCCTTCACCAGTGTGCATTTCCCACTACCAATTGTCCCAGTTTTCCTACCACCCCACTCCTGTCTCTCTGGAAACTACTTCTATTTCTCTCTTTTTGTCTCTCTCTTTCTCTCTCTCTGTCTCTCTCATTTTGGCCATTCTGGTTTGCAACACAGATACTGAAAGTTTATCCCTTTACCAACTTCAACACTCATTTCCTGCCCAGAGTGATCATTTCCAACAACCAAGGGTTCTTTTGTACTATGTCATACCTCCACATCTCTTAAATTGCCTCAAAAATCATTTAGTTATGAACAATCTTGGTGCCATAAGAACAGAAGATTTCCCCAATAGTACTTTTGTTTATTACACGAACAAAACCAGGGCCAAATCCAGTACATCACAGTGGTTATAGGTAAAATCTTTTTGAGAACTTCGGCCACTGTTCCCTGAAGTCTGAGCTGATCCAGAGTCTAATGTAGGGATCTCTTTGGAGGAAGCACCTATGGAAACACACTCTGTTCTTCTCTTGTGCATCTGAAAACAGGTTTTGATCATAAGAAAACTGATCCTTTTAACCATCGGCCATTACAAGGCAGTTTATCATTCATTGTTTTCTTTTATTTTTATCATATCCCTAGCAGATAGGTCTTATCACTATATTTTTCTATTTTGTTGATTTATTCTTGCCCCCACTTCATTTTATGACAATAAACTAGAAAATTGGATGAATTTCCTAGACTACAACTTAACAAATAACAAAACTAGAGTTTTAAAGAAAGAAGCCACTTGACACATTATCACTTGGTGGAGGGGGGTTTTCACCTAGAATCGGGATGTTTACGCCAGCAGTCTCAGTTTCTTGTGCATTTCCCCTCCCCAGGATGTGCAATACTCTGACATTGACTACATGGAGCGACAGCTGGACTTCACCCTCAACCCCAAGTTTAAGGGCTTCCCAGAGCTGATTAATCGCATAAAGAACGATGGGATGCGAATCATCCTCATTCTGGTCAGTGCCCGTGGGAACATGAGGAGTTGCCTTAGGAAAGCCCATGGGGATTGGTGGAGAATGCTTTATCTTCTGCTTCTTTTGAACAGAGATTCCTAGGTCTAATGGACTTTGAAGAAGGAATATTGATACATTGGCTGTGGGAGTGGGGGTAACACACTTAAATAGTGCAGAATTGGAGTGAAAGCCAAGGCTACCTTAATAAAAAATATGTATGTGTCCATTTACGCATATTCATAGGGTCCAAGGGGAGGCAATGCCTTCTCTTTTGAGTCATCTTCTGAGTAATTCTCCATCTTTGGCTTTTCTCTCCTCACCTGTGTGAATTCATTTCAGGATCCAGCCATTTCTGGCAATGAGACTCAGCCCTATCCTGCATTTGAGCTGGGGAAAGAGAATGATGTTTTCATCAAGGATCCAAGTGATGGAAGCATTGTCTGGGGAAAGGTATAACCATTGTTGATTTCTGAACCTTTGCTGGGGTGTTGGTACTAGTGTGAGCGGGTGGTTTCTTGGATTTTCCCATTGCAGTTTTGAGTCAGATGTAGTAACTTTCTCGATCAGTGTTTATCAGCATGGTTAAGAATTTTTAAAGAACTGCATACATCATGGTGTCTACTTTTCCCCCAAATCAATCTTACCTGAAAATAAAAATGTATCACTCCTAGGACCACGATGTACAGTTTCTTAGGAGATACTGGGGTGAGAGAAATTACCTAGTGCTTTGCTTCTGAACATTTTTCTTTTCATAGGTCTGGCCTGATTTACCCGGTGTTGTTATAAACAGTTCTCTAGACTGGGATACTCAAGTGAAGGTAAAGGGTTCTTGGTGGGCATGAGAAATTCAGGGTTGTCATCAAGATTCAATCTTATTTAGTTTGCTGAATTTTTTGCCTTGGATGTGTGGGTATAGTGAGGGAATAACCTCAGGGAGCCTGTCTTGTATGTCTCCCTAGGTAACAATTATTTTACATCATCTTTTTGGTTTCTAATTGGGAGGTGGGTATTACTACCCTCAGTTTAGTGACTCAGAGATGACATGACTTGTTCATGGTTTCAAGTAACAGAGGGAATTTAAAATTCAAGGTTGTCAGATTCAAAGATGCATGAAATTGCCCCTGGGTAATACGTCCAAAAAGGGCTGGAGCAATAGCACAGCGGACAGGATGTTTGCCTTGCACATGGCCGACCTGGCCAACCCAAGTTCGATTCCTCTGCCCCTCTCGGAGAGCCCGGCAAGCTGCCTAGAGTATCTCGCCTGCATGGCAAAGCCAGGCAAGCTCCCTGTGATGTATTCAATATGCCAAGCCCAGTAACAACAAGTCTCACAATGTTACTGGTGCCCACTCCAGCAAATCGAAGAACAATGGGAGGACAGTGACAGTGACAATACCTCCAAAAACTATTGTCTTTTACCAGATTTAGTAGGTTTCTTGCTGCTGTGTTTTGTTGTTTTTTCACCCCTGCTCCCATCTTCAGGACTTGGGTCTTCTCTGCACATCTTTCTTTCTTGAACAGGCTCCTCCCTATTCACTCATTACCACCACACTCCTCTTCCTTCGGTTTCTCTACTTTGTTCTTTGTTCCAGTACTAGTCTATGTTGAAACTTGCTCCCAATCGAGAACAAGTTCTTACTTATAATTGATCTCAGAGAAGGATTCTAGGGAGAATACCTCGCTTCATGTTCCCTGTTTTTCCATAGAAGATCACTTTAGTTGGGCTGGAGCGAAAGCACAACAGTAGGGCATTTGCCTTGCACGCAGCCAACATGGCCGACTCGAGTTTGATTCCTCTGCCCCTCTCAGAGAGCCCGCCAAGCTACTGAGAGTATCTCGCCTGCACGGCAGAGCCTGGCAAGCTACCTGTGATATGCTCAATATGCCAAACACAGTAACAACAAGTCTCATGATGGAGATGTTACTGGGCCCACTTGAGCAAATCGATGAACAACGGGAGGACCGTGACCATGATCACTTTAGTTTAGGTGGCAAGCCATATGCACACAGGAATCTGCCAGATCAGAGAAGTTCCAAGCCATGTACCCCTTGATTTTTATTTACTTTTTAAAAATATCACTGCCTCCAGCTTAATTGAAGTATAATTGACTAATAAAATTATGAAGTAAATAATAGAGATATTTTATATGCATGCACATGCACATATATATTAAAATAATGATAATAGGTTTATTATATACCATCACCTTATATAGTTACCCATTGGATGTGTATTTGTTGAGCATGGTTAAGATATATGTTTTACATGTACAACATCAGCAATAACTGTCACATCATTATATATTATATCCCAAACACTTATGTATCTTCTTTTGGGGGGAGCACACCAAGTGGTACCCAGAGTTACTTATGACTTTGCACTCAGAAATTACTCCTGTCAGTCTTCATGAAATCATATGGGATATGGGGGATTGAACTCATTAGTATACATGCAGGTGGGCTGCATGCAAGGAAAGTCTTATCCTCTGTACTATCACAAAAAGAAAAGATTCATTTGTTTGTTTGAGGGCTATGCCTGGCAGTGATCAGGGCTTTTTTTTTTCCTGACTCTGACCTCAGGGATCACTCCTGGTGGTATTGGGCAACCAAAGTGGCCCCAGGGATCTAACCCTAGTCAGCGGCTTGCAAGGTAAATGTTGTACCTGTGGTATCATCACTCCATTGTGTGTTCTGGTACCCTTACGCTAAAGATCAATTGACTATCTCTGTACATTAATTTCTGGGATTAAATTTTGTTTCATTGGTTTGTGTATCTGTTTTCATGCCAGATCCTAGGCTTTTAAATCACTTGACTGGGAAAGAGGTTCCGTCACCAATAAAAGAATGTGCTATCGCTATTGAACCCTACAAATTATTTATTTATTTATTTACATTTATTTATTGGATCATTTTTAGAAAAGTTACAAAACTTTCAGGTTTAAGTCTCTGTCATACAATGATCAAACACCCATCCCTTCACCAGTGCATATTTTCCACCACCAAGAACCCATCCCCTATGCCTGTGAGGCAGATGATTTCCACTTAACTCTATCTCTACTTTGATTACATTCATTATTCTGACAAAAGATGCACCATTATTATTTGGAATTTTCCCCCAACAATCAGACCTGCTGAAAAGGCATTGTGAAATAATTTGTTTTGTATTGCTGGTTATGAGAACCACATGATGTTTGGATTTCTGATATTTTACTAATATTTTGGATTTCTGGCATTTTACTAATTAAGTCTGGAGGGATTTCTGCCAAAAGCCGCAGAGTTCTGAGATTGGTTTGTGTGCCTCTAGGTCAATGGTTGTGTCGGAGAGCCGCTCATGGGGGGCAACTCGTGGACTCGGCAGGGGAGAAAGGACATGCCAGTTTTGCCCCCAATCCCGTGAGGTGGCAGTTGCCCCATCACTACCGGCTCATTCCTGACTGTCCAATAAGCTCTGAGGTGGCGGCCACTCTGCTTTGGGTGAGGGGGGGGGGAGGAGAAGGTGGAAGAGACAGACACCCTTTCCCTCCTGTGGCGAGGGAGGCACAGCACAGTCGCTTAATGCATAGTCCATTTACATTTCTGCTGAAAGCTCCTGAGTTTTGAATTAGGTCCATGTGCCTCTGGGGCCATGCTGGAGAGCCGCTCATTGGGGGGCAACTCTGAACCCCACAATTTATTATACATTAGTAGCATTTATTTTGTCTGGTTTCGCTGGTCAAACAGAACCAGTGGAATAAGGCATAAGGTCCTTGCTCTTTTTGTATTGGTTAAGGATCACTTCCAAGTTAAAATGAAGATATGAATAATTTATTCATTATTTAGGGATGATCAGTCAATGGTGAGGAAGGCTAAAACTTCTTCTTACCTTCTCCCAATTACTAGATTCACAATTAAGTTTTCAATTTATTCTGAAGCTACAGAAAACACAGGTGGATATTAGTTAAATAGTCTAGTCTAATACAATTCAGTCTCCCTCTTTCTCAGTGGTAAGGAGACAGGAGACAAAGACAATCAGGCTCTTGCTTTCCAATCTGTAGACTGAGCAGCAGATGTCTCTCCTTCCCAGACTGTGTCTCTCCAGCCCATTCTACATGTCAAAGGAATGCTGAGGACACTGCAGGGGAGAGTTGAGGGTTGAACATTTAATACAAAAGACAGTGAATTCACAGTGTTGGAAGTCTAATGGCTGCTTTCCAAATGCTAGGAAACCATTTAAATTATGCTTTTTCCCCCTTCATCCTCATTGTAGCACTGTAGCACTGTACATTGTTCATCGATTTGCTCGAGCAGGCACCAGTAACTTCTCCATTGTGAGACTTGTTGTTACTTAATTTGGCATATCGAATATGCCAGGTAGCTTGCCAGGCTTTGCCATGAGGGCAGAATACTCTCAGTAGCTTGCCGGGCTCTCCGAGAGGGCAGAGGAATTGAAGCTTGGTTGACCGCATGCAAGGCAAATGCTCTACCCTCTATGCTATCAGTCCGGCCCATGCTATCTCATTGTAATAGGAATAAACTCAAATTATTTAGGCTTTGCACTGTTATGTTTTATTTTCTTTTGATAATCCATAGTTAAAGACTTTGCCTGAGTTTTCAGTAAATGCCTATTGCTGCCCAATAGACTTGATTAGAATAAATTATATCTAATTATTATATTAAATTACTACTTAATTATTAATTTTTTTGATTATAAATAATTCTATTTTGTTTTTATGTGACAGCTGTACCGAGCTCATGCAGCTTTCCCAGACTTTTTCCGAACTTCAGCTATAAACTGGTGGAAGAATGAGTTGAAAGAATTACACACCAATACCCGGGAACCCGAAAAGAGCCTGAAGTATGATGGCATATGGATTGTAAGTGTGTGTTTTGCTTGTGCACACACAGATGGCATGTTTATTTCTGTGTGTCTAAGCAGCTGTATGGCTGAACTTTAATCTCCTAGTAGTGATCATTAAGAAAGACTTTGTATATATCAGATGCAATTGGTCCACTTGGTAGTAAATCCCACTGTGATTACCAAAAATTTTTTGCAATAGAGTGTTCTCACATACTCAAACAAGAAGTTTTACAAATAAAAATTTCTCTCTCTAGATATTACAGTTCATTTTCAGCTAGATTGGGTGCATTTCCCTGGGTTTGTATTCAGGGTTTTATGACACAGTGAATTATTTCATTCACCACTTCCTTGCCTCTGAATTGACAGCATATAAATCATTTTCAAAAGTAAAATAAGGGGCTGGAGTGATAGCACAATGGGTAGGATATTTGCCTTGCATGTAGCCAACCCCGATTCGATTCCCAGCATCCCATATAGTCCCCCGAGCACCGCCAGGAGTAATTCCTGAGTCTATGAGCCAGGAGTAACTCCTGTGCATTGCCGGGTGTGACCCAAAAAGCAAAAAAAAAAAAAAAAAAAAAAAAAAAAAAAGTAAAATAAACCTGTTTGACATTTCTAGGATATGAATGAACCCTCCAGCTTTGTGAATGGGGCAGTTGAAGGCTGCAAAAATCCCACTCTGAACCGACCTCCCTATATGCCACGTAAGCATCCTGGGTACTCTCTGTTAGCAGAGTAATGGCTCTCAGGAGTGCCCCATGCAAGAGTCCAGCAGTCAGGGGCTTTTCCTGATCACTAGCACACATTCTCACTGGTGTTTTTATTGGTGGGAAGAGGATGTCATAGCCAAATAGACTTCAAGTACTTTACCCACTTGGGTCCATGAAAATTACTGGCTCCACCGAATGAATTCCTCAAATTTGTTCAGAAAGCTAGATATAATTTAGACATGTCAATTCCTTTATGATTAATTTTTGGGTCACTAACTGGGGAATGTGATTGCTTCCCCATCTATCATGACAACATGGACATTGGAGTCACACTTATTGTCATACCTCTGTTATAGAACATCATTGTCCAATACTAATATGACCTGCAGTAGAATGCTTGAGCTTATCTAAATTAGGAGGCTTAATATGTTTATGGAATCATGTTTTTTGTAATTTATGTGTAATGTATATGTAATTTATATATAGTGTGTAATATATATGTAATTTATCTGTAATAATGTACATCAGGGAAGCTTAGATTGGAGGCTGTTAGTCACCAGGTTTGGTCACTGCGTGTTCTACCTTGTGGCCCCACCCTCACCCTGGAGGATTGATATTGAAACACTCTGTGGGTGTCATTGCAGCTCAGAGATGAGTGTACCCTCATTCCTCTGGGGAAGAGAGAGACCCTTACAGTGGCAAAGAGGCCTTGATGAGAAGCTGGGGTGAATAGCATCTGGGTAGCTTTCCCATCTCTGCATCTCTTGTTTCAGATCTGGAAACCAGAGACAGAGGTCTAAGCAGCAAGACCCTGTGCATGGAGAGTGTGCAGATCCTGGAAGATGGCACCAAAGTACAACACTACAATGTGCATAACCTATATGGGTGGTCCCAGACCAGACCTACCTACGAGTGAGTTGTCATCTCCCTTCTTCTGTCGTACAACCTGCAGTGATTGCCCATGGCCGATGACACCACTGACTTTCCTTTTCAATCCCCCTTACAAGGGCTAATAAGACTTTTACAACAGGGTCACAGCTCACATTTATTAAACAAGTACTTGCTAGCATGAAGCCAGATCCCGTGGAGGCTGATCTAAACAAGGCATTGTCCTGCTAGTAAGAAACTCAGAAGCAGGACAGAGGTTTACCATTGTACATTTGATGAAAACTAATGAGCTTTCACAGAAAAAGGAGGCAGAGGACTAGATAGCTCTCTCCTTTATTTCTAAAGTGACCTCTCTCTCTCTCTAACACACATTTCAATCATTCTTATTGGACATCCAACTGATACTTTTCTGAATTAATACTGTGGTATTTTGTGTATTCATTAGGACAAGTAACAAAATTTATCCTAAAGAAAGCCTTATACAGAGTCATTCTGACTACATAATGCTAGGTGTTGAGTAAATAAATAGCAATAGAAACTTCTCTAAATTGACCCAAAGAGTTTATTCCATGGTGATTTTCTTTCTTTTTGCTAAATAGTGTAAATTACTCTGTTAAAGCATGTCCGTTCATCATCTGGACTCAGTCAGCTGGAATCCTATCATGATTTCCATTTCTGTTTTCTCTCTAATAACATAGTGGCAATTGGTCACCATACTGTAGGCCTGGAAAATCTGGAAAGAAAACCTTTGTGGCCTTTTCTCCCCTGCTCTGGCTCACAATCATCTCCTTCATTCTCTCCAACCAGAGGTGTGCAGGAAGTGACTGGAGAGCGAGGGATTGTTGTCACCCGCTCCACGTACCCATCTTCTGGTCGCTGGGCAGGACACTGGCTGGGAGACAACACTTCTGGGTGGGACCAGTTGAAGAAATCTATCATTGGTGTGTGGGCATGTTCCCAGGGTCTCTGCTTGCTGGTGTGGGGAGGGTAGGTGGTGATGGGGAGGCATGGAGATAGGTTTCCTGATAAAAATCTGAGAAAAGGCTGGGAAGAAAGCTCAATGGGCTGAAGCACCTGCTCTGCAATCTGGCACTGCATGGTCCCCTGAGCTCTGCTGGGATCAACTTTCACACATGGAGACCCTGAGCCCAGGCCTGAAAACAAAAACAAAAATGATCTAAGCGAGGAGGAGGCAGGTGCCAATCATGGTATCTGACACAGTGTGCTCTCATTGCAGGCATGATGGAGTTTAGCCTCTTCGGCATATCCTATGTAAGTGTCCCTGGCACCACTCTAAATCATCAGGTAAATGGTGACATCTTTCAAAAGCCATTAACAGCCACATTTTCTTCCATTCTTTTTTCCAGACAGGAGCAGATATTTGTGGGTTCTTTCGAGATGCTGAATATGAGATGTGTGCTCGCTGGATGCAGCTGGGGGCCTTTTACCCCTTCTCGAGGAACCATAACACCATTGGGACCAGGGTAGGATATTTGCTCTTAGTTCAAAAGTTATGCATGGACATGAAAATAGTCTCCAGTTCTGAGCTACAATTCATGAGAGCTGTGATCCCTGGAGACACCATAAAAACAACTAAATCCTTATGCTGAAACCATATAATATCTACCCTCCTAGAAAATTTCAAATAAATGCCACGGTATTGTTAACTTTAGTCACTATGCCACATGCTAGATTACCAGAATATATGCAATTTACAACAGTAAGTTTATGCCCTTTGGCCACTTCGGGGGAAGTGGCCAAAGGGCATAAACTTATATCTTATAACCACCAATCTGCAATTTGTTTCCATGTGTTCTACTCCACCCCTCTCGGAGAGCCCCGCAAGCTACCGAGAGTATTCGATATGCCAAACACAGTAACAACAAAGTCTCCAATGGAGACGTTACTGGGCCCGCTCGAGCAAATCGACGATCAATGGGAGGGCCTTTACCTTTTACCTTTTACGTATAAATGACATGATACAGTAGATAGTATTGATCTTTCTGTCTGACATATTTCATTTTGCATGATGAAATCAGATCCATCTATGTTGTTGAAAGTGATAGGAGTTCTTTATTCATGGCTAAGTAATATTCCATAAACTATACATATTCATGAGTCCTGTCATATATTTAATAGGCAAAAAAGGTAAAGGCCCTCCCATTGTTCATCGATTTGCTCAAGTGGGCCCAGTAATGTCTCCATTGGAGACTTTGTTGTTACTGTGTTTGGCATATGGAATATGTCATGGGGAGTTTGCCAGGCTCTGCTGTGCAGGCGAGAAACTCTCGGTAGCTTGCCGGGCTCTCCGAGAGGGGCGGAGAAATAGAACTTGGGTTGGTCATGTTGGCTGCGTGCAAGGCAAACGCCCTAGGGCTGTGCTATCGCTCCAGCCTGCCATCGCTCCAGCCGTATATTTAATATTAATTTATTTTATATCTCCATATAGACACACATATATACAGACACAAACTCACAAGTGGTACAAGTGGTATTGCTATATCATATGGCAGTTCCTTTTTCAACTTTGAATAAAAACATACCATTTAACACAGAAGCTGTAAATTAAGATCAGTGCTGCATACAGATTTCCCCTTCTTTCACTTCTTAGCTAAAACTTGTTATTTTTTAGCTTTTGGATATCATCCGTTCTAACAGGTATTTGATAATATACCGTGGTGGTTTTATTTGTATTTCTCTCATTTTGGTAATATTTAGCATCTATATGTATATACTTTTTGTCCAATTATATGTCATCTATGAAAACTAAGTATCAATAACAGTATGAACTAAAGAATTAATAAACACGAGAAAATAGAAGTTACAGAAAAATCTTAAAAATATAAACATAATATTAAAAAGTTTATAGATGAACATATAGACGATTCAATTTAAAAAGTTTATAAAATGCACCAAAAGTGGTTCTAAAAAACTTTTTTAGTGATAAATTACTAATGTCATTAACAACAACAGCAAGAACAAAATTTTTGCTTTCCCTCTCACCATGGCCTGGTTCGAGATGGAAAGCCTTGTCCTGGGACCCTAAGGGCCTCTCCTTGCCAAAACACAGTCCCTAGATCAGGAAGCTGCATCGACTGAATCAGCTCTAATTCTCCAAACCCCAAACGGCACAGACACTTTAGTGTCTGCAAGAAATTATTACTGAACACATCTTCCTTCATATTGAAGCCAGTGGTTGCAACAGCTTTATTTCATTGATCATTTGCAATTGAAAAATCTCGAAGGGTCTCTAACTTTTCAGTTAAGGTAACTAAAAACAGCAAGATAGCTGAGATTAAAGCAAGTTGAATAAAGGAACTAAGGATAAGGACAGAAATAAAGAAAATAGACCATAAAAGTAATAGAGAAGATTAAATAAAACTCAGAGCTGATTTTTCAAAAAGATACGGAAAAATTGACAAACATCTAGTTGGACGTCCTAAAATCTGAAGACCCCAAAAACAATATAATAAATAAAATAAATAAGGAAAATGATAAATAAATAAGAAGATCTTGCATATAACACCAAATAATACAAGAAATCATGAGATTCTTCTATTATTAATTGTATACTAACATATTTAGACAACCTACAAGACACAAAGAAATTTCTAGACATACTAAACAAACAAGCCTAGAGAGATTGAGTCATGAAGAAATAAAAATATGAACAGGACAGCAATGAATAAAGACATTGTTTCAATAGTCAAAAAAATTCCCCCCCCAAAAAAAATCCAGGACTAAGTGGTCTCCTTGGTGAATTTTATCAAACATTTTAAGAACTAATGACAATTATTTTAAAACTTCCTGAAAATTGACATGTACTAAACATTACCAATGTTCATTTTATAGGAACATTACCTTGATACTAACTCTGGTTTTCCATTATAAATTATAAATTATGGACATTATAATAAAAGAAAATTGCACATCAATATACCTGATAAATAAAGAGTTAAAACTGAACAAAATAATAGCACAGTAAGAATGAGGTGCCTGGGCAAGACAGATAGTACAGGGATTAAGGCACTTGCCTTGCATGAGACAGTTCCAGACAGATTTCCAGCAATGTGTATGGCTCCCTGCCCACTGCCAGGAATGATCACTGAGCACTACTAGGTGTAGACTAATAAATAAATAAATAAATAAAAATAGAATTCTTTGTCTTTATTAAGTATAATTTAAACCTTGGCATACAAAGGTGGTTCAATATATGCAAACAAATTAATGTGATACTCCACATTAACAGAATGAAAGATAAAAATTATATCATAATTTCAATAGGTGCAGAGAAAATTTATGACAAGAACAACATCCTTTTATGATAAAAACTCTTAACAAAAAATTTTTTTTACTCAGTTTGTTTCACCCACTAGAAGGATTCTATCCTACATTATACAGACACACGTGTTATATTCAACAGTGAAACATTGAAAACCTGTTTAATATCAGGGACAGGTCAAAGGTTTTATTAATATCACTCCGAATTTACATAGTAGTTGAAGTCCTAATCAGAACAATCAATCAGGCAAGAACACGATATAAATGGTATACAAAAATAATGGAAGACGTAAAATAATCTCTTGATAATTTAATGATCTTACATATAAAAAACCCTATAGGTGGTACAACAACTATCAAAGCTAATAAATTTTCAGAAATTATATTTTATTCACAATGAAATATCTGAAGAGGTAAAAAAAGCAATCTCATTTATAATGCATCAAAAAGCAACAAAATATTTAGGAATACATGTAATTGAGATGGTGAAAGACTCGTTTACTGAAAACTATAACATTGATGAAAGAAGTTTAACAAAAACAAATGGCAATACCTTCCTTGCTTATGGATTAGTAGAATTAATAATGTTAAAATAACCAAGCAATTTAAAGCCATTCAGAGAGCTAATTTCTATAAAAATTCACATGAAATTTCTTAAAGTTGTAACAAAGAAAATCTCTGAAGAATGGTTTGGAACTATAAAAGACTTTCTATAATCAAAACAATCGTGAGAAAGAACAAAGTTAAAAATATTATGTATCTTTATTGCAGAACTATAATAAACCTTACATTATGATACTGGAGTTAAAAATAGACACATAAGAGAGCCTAGAAAAAACCTTTGGATATACTGAAAACTAACACTTCACAGTAGATCCAGAAATTCTCAATGTAGAAAACATGGCATATTTAATATGAGATGTTAAAAAAAAACTAAGCAATCAACACATAGCCAAATGAATTGGTCTCTGATTATGAGTACTAACATCACCTCTAACAAAAATAAACTAAATATAATACCAGAAACTAGAAAGATTATAGAAGAAAAGAAATATTAAAACAGATCTCAGAAAAAAAGAGAGAGGAAGCTTCCTGATTCTGTTCTTGGCATTGAAATTTTTAGATATGACATTAAGACAAAAATTATTAGCAAAAATAACAAGCAGGACAATGTCAAACAGAAAACTTTCCATGGATCAAAGGAAACAACAAAATGAAAAGATAATCTTTTGGAATTGGAGAAAATATATGCAAGCCATGTATTGGATGGGGAGACAATATTCAGATATATGTAATACAATGTGGTGGAAATAGACAATTTTCATTTAAAGATGGGCATAAGAACTGAATGGATGAATTTCTAAAGCAGACATACAAATAATCATCAGGTACACTGGCTGGTACTCATGCTTCAGTGAATACAATTGTCATTGTTTTTTTTTTAAATGTTATTCTTCCTGTTTTCTATCTGCAGATAGTTTATTAGCTGCCGTTGGATAGTTTCAGTAAAAATGTCACTTTGGTCTATTAAAAATATTCTGTCTCATCTATAATTATCATTGCTTTAGTTGTTTTTCATCATCATTTGGAATAAATAATTAGTGAACTTCTTAATTCTCCCCCCATCCCCTATTCACCCCCTCCACCTCATCCCACCAATGCTAGCACTTTTTTACTTTTTCAGAATCAAGACCCTGTGTCCTGGGATAAAGAATTTGAGGATCTCTCTAGAAATGTCCTGAACATCAGATACACCTTGTTGCCATATCTCTATACCCTGATGCACCTGGCCAACACAGAGGGCGTTACTGTTGTGCGACCTCTACTCCATGAGTGAGTATCTCACTGGGGTCCCAATGAAATTTGCATTCTTTGTGGTTCCAATTGAGGAAGCCATGCTTTCAAATCAAAAGGAAACTGTGATTGCCTTTGTCATAGCTTTCTGGGCAGAGCCCATGCTTCACCACTCTTTCAGCAGAGTATAAATTATGCCTTGGGTCTTCGATAAAAGGCTAGATTTAATCTCTTTTTCTCTGAAAGAGTAAATTATAACACGAAATATTTTCTTTCTAGTTTTTATATCAGGAAACCCATCTGTTTTTCTTTTTGTGTCAGCTCAGTTCATCTCAGGTCATAAAAGAAGGCATTTAGGAAAATCTGTAAGGATGAAGGCCATATTTGCACATGAAATGTGTTCAGGTTGAGGAAGGTGGAGATATCTATGGTGATAACATATATAAATTCAGCCATGTCTGGAGCTGCAACACATGCCTTGTAGATAGTGAGTAATGTGTCCAGTCAAAAAGTAATGGATAATATAATATATGAGGCAGTCAAGTCTAAACAGGAGGGGTTTCTTTCAGGTCTTTTGTTGGGATTCTGCTGGAGGATCCTAATAGAGGTAATGTGTCTTCTCTTTCCAGGTTTGTGTCGGACAGGAAAACTTGGGACATAGACAGTCAGTTCCTGCTGGGTCCAGCTTTCCTGGTCAGCCCTGTTCTGGAACCTGTAAGTATGAGGTCCTCTGGCAATAGAGGGATCCCGAGGCAGGTAAATTGGGCAAGAAGAACTGTTCTAGTAGGGATCCTTATTCTACTATGTCACCTCCTCTCCCTCTGAGCTGAAGTCCTTCACTTGGTGTTATGGTCCTTTGCATCCCTAGCTTTTAAATAAGTGCAACAAATCTGATTGACTAGACAATCCAGAAGGGGAAAAAGATATCTTCTATATTTAAAAGCACAATCATCTCTTTAATTGAAATCAGCAGTATAGGTCATGTGGGTGTAGAACTATGAAGAATTTGTTGCCATAATCTACTATCATAAAAACAAAACTTTGATTAGAGGTGCAGATAGTCTTGTTAGCTAGTACTTCTCTTCCTGCTGTCAGAGGATTTGGGGTACCCCCTCCTTTACTTTGGTGGTGATTGTATTTCTGACTAAAATGCTAGTTAATTATATCCTCCCAAAATTTATTACACTACTAATAATTTCTGAAGTATGTTTTGTTTGTTTGCTTGACTGTGGGTCATATCTCGTGATGCTCAGGGCTTACTCTTGACTCTTTGCTTAGGAATCATTTCTTGGGTTTGTTTTTAAAACCAATATGTGGTATCATATTTTGAACTAGGGTTGAACGTGTGCAAGGCAAGCACCTCAATACCTCAACTTTCTATCTGGTACTGTAAAGTCCTGACATAAACACCATAAAACTGGGGTTGCCTTGATCCCAGCCTCAAGTTTTATCTTTAGAGAGGGCACAGGATAAGTTAAAGAGCAAGTATAATGCTCTTCTATGTCAAGGCTATGTCCCAATAGATTTTATGGAAATGGCCATGTTAAGGTAGGCAGATCTTTTCCCATTTGAGAAGGGGAAAGGCAGAAGAATCTCCCCCAATATTATTGATTTCTAGAGCTCTGAGATGGGTGTCATTTCTCTTTGATCCATCTTTTATGCAAATTGGTTACTCTGCTCTGGATAACTAACATAGCCCACTGTCCATGCCTCTGTGTTTTATTTTAGAACGCTAGAACTGTCAATGCATATTTTCCTGATGCCCGCTGGTATGATTACCACACGGTAAGTTTTTCTGATTGTGTGTGCAACCTGGGAAAACAGAAGTGTGCTCAAATGTCAGATAAAATTCTGACTGCATAGGAGCTAGAGAGATAGTGTTGAGCTTAACTTGCATGAGGTTGCCCTAGTTTCCACCCTCAGCACCCCATATATTCTCGTGAACCCAGCCAAGAAGGATCCTTGGCATAGAACCAGGAGATCCATGATTATTTTTTTCTCCTTTAAAACAGTCAAATGCACTCCACTATCAAACCTGACTGGCATCTGGTTTTGTAAGTAACGTTTTATTGGAATTCACTGTAGGCATTTTTTTTAACTTATCGACAATAATTGGGTTCCAAATTCGACAACAGAGTTCTTTGGTTACATCAGAAATTAGCTGGAGCATAATTTTTAAATTTAGTGCTTCTTACATGGCGTTTTACATTCAAAGTTTATTAATCCCTGTTACAGAGGATACACAAACTGATGCAACTTATTACTGAAATGTATGGGATCATGTGAAAGGAACAGAGCAATTATCTAAAAACATTGTAGAAAAATAAACCTCCATGTAGACATTTATAGAAAAATAGATGCAGGCAGACTAGGTAAAAAATGAAGACATTTGGGGAGTTCAGCACCTCCACGAATGTGCGAGGAACGCCAAGAGAGAGATAGCCACAAAAAGTCGCCTATCTTCGAAAACTCTTGAGCTAATTCGCCAGCGTGGTTTGGCGCATGCCTCAGGCAACCGCAAGCTAACATCCGAGCTCGCAAAGCAGTGCAGAGATGCGATCAAGGAAGACCTCAAAGAGAGAAGAGCAGAAGTACTGGTAGATGCGGCAGAAGCCGGGAAAAGTATTCGTAACGCCGCCTGTCCTTCGCCAACTATAAGACCAAGATGACTGCCCTCCCACATCCTGATGGATCCATCACATCCTCCAGAACGGCAATGGAGAAGATTATCCATGACTTCTACTCAAATCTCTTCGATAGCCATGTCCACTTGCCGACATACCAAATTCCACAGGATGGGTATGTCGTTCCCAACGTTCTCCCTTCCGAAAGCCGACACGCCATTTCGTCAGTAAAGAAGCAAACAGCACCCGGCCCAGACAAGGTCAGACCTGAACACCTGAAGAACCTGCCGTCAGTACTCATCAATACACTGGCTCGGCTCTTCACTCGCTACCTGTCTGAATGCAAGGTTCCATCTCAATGGAAAACCAGCAGGACCGTACTACTGTTCAAGAAGGGAGACATCCATGACATTGGCAACTATCGCCCGATCTGCCTATTGTCTGTCATCTACAAGTTGTTCACTCGAGTCATCCTGAATAGGATTGGCAGAACACTAGATGAAGGACAACCATGTGAGCAAGCAGGGTTCCGCAAAGGATTCAGCACCATCGACCATATCCACACGATAACCAAGCTCATTGAGGTTTCTCGGGAGTTCAAGATGCCGCTCTGCTTAACGTTCATTGATTTAAAGAAGGCCTTTGATTCTGTTGAGAAGGAAGCGGTCATTGAAGCCCTAGCCAATCAGGGCATTCAAGCCCAATACATCAGGATCCTCCGTGAGCTGTATTGCGGATTCTCTACCAGGATCTCACCATTCTACAAAGAAGTGATCGTTGATGTCAAGAGAGGGGTGCGGCAGGGTGATACCATTTCACCAAAACTCTTCAGTGCCACCCTCGAGAACATCATGCGACGACTGGAATGGGAAGGAATGGGAGTGAAGATAGATGGTCGGCAACTACACCACCTCCGCTTTGCTGATGACATTGTTTTAATAACACCAAACATCAGCCAAGCGTCACAAATGCTGGCCGACTTTGACCGTGAGTGTGGAAAGGTAGGACTACAGCTGAATCTTACGAAGACAATGTTTATGAGAAACAGCCTTGTTCCTGACGCCCCATTCGCTCTCAATGGAACGACCATCTCCGAATGCAACAGCTATGTGTACCTAGGTCGAGAGGTCAACATGAGAAATGACCTGGCACCCGAGCTGCGCAGGAGGAAGAGAGCGGCTTGGAACGCCTTCAAGAACGTCGAAGAAATAGCTAAGAGGACGAAGAACCTCCGGCTCCGGGCACATCTCTTTGATTCCACTGTTCTTCCTGCATTAACATATGCCTCAGAGACCTGGGCCCTACGCAAACAAGATGAGAACGCCATTCAGGTCTCCCAAAGAAGAAGAGAAAGAGCTATGCTTGGAATATCACGTTTCACTCAAATGAGAGAACGAATCCGGAGTTCTGACATCCGTCGACGATCAAGGATCAGGGACGCTGTCTCATTTGCCAAGGTGTCGAAAATCAGATGGGCTGGTCACGTAATGAGATTTAAAGACGACCGTTGGACTAGAGCTGTTACTGATTGGATTCCACGGGATGTCAAGAGACCGCGTGGCCGCCCACCTACCAGATGGTCAGACTTCTTTGTCAAGATCATGAACGATCGGTTTGAGGCCCTCCATGTTCCCGGAGCGAAGAGATGCCATTGGGCTACACTAGCACGCGACAGGGACAAATGGAGACGTTACTGGCGCCCGCTCGAGCAAATCGACGACTAACGGGAAGTTAAGTGATTAAGTGATTTGGGGAGTTGGGTATTATTGAAAAGGTATCCTGAAAGATAGATGGATGTTTAAAAAGTTCACTAGGAAAGTCAAAGTACCTTCACCCATAAAAATACAAACATACAGAAGGTCAAACAGTAGAAAACGGAAAGCAAAATTAATCATTTTTGAGCACCAAGAGATACCACTTCCCACCGCAAGAATGTCCATCAAAAAATGATAAAAAAAATAAATGATGGACAGGTTTAGGGAAGAAATGCCCAGCAAACTGCAGGTGGGAATATAAGTAGCTATAGTCATTATGGAGAATAGATCTTGAAGAAAAGAATACAACTACCCTCTGATTCAGTTAATTACTCTTTGTAGAGAACTTTGCTTATCCCGGTTGATCTTGGTGAACATAGATACAATAAAATGTATTTTTGCTCATCCTCTCTTATTTCATCATGTAATACATTAAGTAGTTTGAGTGGTTTGTGCCCTTCATTTAAAAGAGAGGAGACATAGAACTAATCCAATTTGTCTTATTCATTAACAATTTTTATGACATTAAGAGCAGACTATGTATATGAATTAAGGGTTTTCATTAGGTAGTTTTCTTGGTTACAGCATAGAACATAAGTTAGGGTTTTAAAATAGTGTTTTAATCCACTAACTCCACTACCCAGCCGCCGCCACGCTCCAGGATGTTTTCCGGACACATCATAAGACACTTAATACCCATCTTTCAGGATTGCTGCGCCATATTTGATAGGGTTCAAATACGATTTGAACCATGGGAACACCTACAAGGGCAATTAGAGGCCGCCCCAATTCCTCTTGGAGAGACTGGTAAGCTACCGAGAGTATTCCTCCCACACGGCAGAGCCTGGCAAGCTATCCGTTGTGTATTTGATATGCCAAAACCAGCAATTACAATGGGTCTCATTCCCCTGACCCTGAAGGAGTAACTGATTTGGCAGCGTTGAGAAGGATGAGGAAGGAGCAGCTGATAAAATCTCAAGGCTGAACTAGGCTGCCAAAATGAAGAAAGACAAAAATGATTGTCTGTACTTTCAATGCATGTATGGTGGTATCTGATGCATCCATCGAGGACCTGATGGTACAAGCACGAAAGATCAAGTATGACATCATTGATCTGACCGAGACAAGAAGGCATCAATCACATCACACCGTTTTTGACACTGGAGAAGAACTATTCCTCAGAACATGCAACACAGGAGGCATCGGAGGCATTGGTGTCCTTGTCAACACGAACTTGGCCATGATCATTGATTCATTCCAATGCCTAACAACCCGAATGGGACGATTACACTTGAATAGATGTGGCTCACTGCCGGCAGTTTCTATCTTTGTCGTCTATGTATCAACATCCAATTATGATGAAGAAGAATTTGAGAAGTTCTACATGGAGCTGGAGAAGTTCTATATAGAAGACCACACCTTCTACAAGATCATTGTTGGTAATTTTAATGCCAAGATAGGATCAAGAAGATCAGCAGAAGAACTCCACATTGGGACCCATGGTCTAGAATGGAACGAACAGAGTGAGAGACTGTCTAAATTCATCCTGTCAACCAAGACCATCCATGGTAACTCACAGTTCCAGAAGGCCAAATATAAAAAATTGGACATGGGAGTCTCCCAGTGGACGGTTCCACAATGAAATTGACCACATCATATTCAATTGACGGTTTTGCCTGACTGATAGCACTGTTGTCCCAAAATTTCAAACTGGATCGGACCACCATCTCCTTCATGCAGAATTTTACTTCACAGAGTGGGGAGAAAGGGCTGCAAAGTTTAAGAGGAGAACTCCCAGAATGACCAGCAAGTGGGAGCTCTTTGGCACTATTGCTGCAACATGGGAAGATGCTGTCACTGACAACACTTATGAAGAATACAATCGACTAGTTCAGCACCTCCATGATTATGCGAGGAACACCAAGAGAGAGATAGCCACAAAAAATGCCTATCTTCGAAAACTCTTGAGCTTATTCGCCAACCTGGTTTGGCGCATGCCTCAGGCAACCACAAGTGGATGTCCAAGCTTGCAAAGCAGTGCAGAGATGTGATAAAGGAAGACCTCAAAGACCTCAAAAAGAGAAGAGCAGCAGTGCTGGTAGATGTGGCAGAAGTCGGGAAAAGCATTCACAAAGCCCGCCTGTCCTTAGCCAATTACAAGACCAAGATGACTGTCCTCTGACGTCCTGATGGATCTTTCACATCTTCCAGAAGGGCAATGGAGAAGATTATCCATGACTTCTACTCAGATCTCTTTGATAACCACATCCACCTGTTCACATACCAAATTCCGCAGGATAGATATGTTGTTCCCAACGTTCTCCCTTCCAAAATCTGACACGTCATTTCTTTCAGTAAAGAAACGCACAGCACCTGGCTCAGACAAGGTCAGACCTGAACACCTGAAGAACCTGAAGAAGCACTCATCAATACACTGGTTCGGCTCTTCACATGCTACCTGTCTGAATGCAAGATTCTGAACCAATGGTAAACCAGCAGGACTGTACTACTGTACTAGAAGGGAGACATCCACAACATCAGCAACTATCGCCCCATCTTCTGCCATCTACAAGTTGTTCATTTGAATCATCCTAAATAGAATAGGCAGAACACTAGATGAAGGACAATCATACAAGCAAGCTGGGTTCCAAAAAGGATTCAACACAATCAACCATATATATACTGTGACCAAGCTCATTGAGTTTTTGCCAGAGTTCAAGATGCTGCTCTGTCCAATGTTCATCGATTTAAAGAAGGCCTTTGATTCTGTTGAGACTGAAGCGATCATTGAAGTCCTAGCCAAACAGGGTGTTTAACCTAAGTACATCAGATCTTCTGTGAGCTGTATTATGGATTCACCACCAGGATCTCACCATTCTACAAGAAAGTGCTCATGGATGTTAAGAGAGGAGTTCGGCAGGGTGATACCATTTCACTGAAATTCTTGAGTGGTACCCTCAAGAATATCATGGGATGACTGGAATGTTATACAAGAGGAAAGATATTATAGCTTGGGGCTGAAGACCAAGTATAGCTGGTAAAGCACTGCACTTGCCTTGCATATTACTGATCTGAGTTTGACTCTAGCACCACATATGATCTCCTGAGCACTGCCAGAAGTGATCCGTGAGACTGGCGCCAGTGTGGAAGCCCCAAGCATAGCTGGGTGTGGCCTACCAAAAAGATAGTGAATGTTAAGGAAGACAGAGTTAGTTGATGGTAAAGATTCATAAAACAAGACCATTCACTAAATTCTTTCCTGTTAAGCATGTGCCAGGTGTTATTTTAGTCAGTAGGAGAGGAAATTGGGGAAGAAAGATGAATCACGGTGAAAGAGAAGGAAAAATGCCTTGAGGGGTGTATATAGAAGTGTTCAGAAGTGAATAACCCCCCTCTCCTGTGAGAAGGGATCCCGACCTGCTGCTGGACAGAACAGCAGTTGTGGAGCAGCTGGGTAAGTGTGAGGAATTCAGGGGCTGGAGAGATAGCACAGAGGGTAGGGCGTTTGCCTTGCACGTACCCGACCCGGGTTCTATTCCCAGCATCCAATTTGGTCCCCTGAGCATCGCCAGGGATGACTCCTGAGTGCAGAGCCAGGAGTAACCCCTGTGCGTCGCTGGGTGTGACCCAAAAAGCAAAATAAATAAATAAAATAAAAAGTCTGAGGAGTGCAGTTGAGGGTGTATGAAAGGTCAGGAAGGGCAGTAAGTTCTATGGGATGACAAGATGCATGGCGATTTCCAGTTCAGAGAGGCGTGTTCTTACCTTCATCATCTCTTTCCCTCTGGTCTGCAGGGTATGGACATTGGAGCAAAGGGAGTAATGATGAACTTGTCAGCCCCTCTCAACCACATTAATCTCCATGTCCGTGGAGGCTACATTCTGCCCTGGCAAGTGCCTGCACAAAACACACACTTCAGGTGAGTGACTGGCCAGGTGTCCCTATTGCATGTCACTAAGCTCAGATCATGTTGAAACCCAGCTATATGGAAACTTTACCTTTAGGCTCCAAAGCACTTTAAGCATTTTGCTTGTTTTGCTTGTTGGACCTCTCTAGTCAATTTTTTGACAAGTGATTATGGACTTTCTTCTGGGGAGGGGGAACTGATGGAAGTTTGGGAAACACCTGACAATGTTCAGGGGCTATTCCTAGCTCAGTACTCAGGCATAATCCCTGGTGATGCTCAAGGGACCATATGTGTTATTGGCATTGAACCAGGGTTAGCAGGATGGAAGGAGAGTGCCTTAATCCCTATAGTATCTCTGCAGCTCAATGGGTTTTCCTAAGTGTTAACTTTTTCCAATTACGGTACCATTGTGTTTTTAAAAGACTGTCTTGTTTTAGGAATACAATTTCACAGCTCTTCCAAATCAATGTTCCAACCCCATGTTCGTCATCAAGTGTCAATAATCCCTCGTCCATAGTCCATTATTATTGGCAAATACATTAGATCTACGTAGATGAGAGAATAGTTAGAAATTGTTATGTGCATTTGAAAAAGCATACAGAGGCCATGGATATTTATGCTTATAATAGAAAAACTTGTATCTTAATGGACTCTTTACTAAGAAAGCTATTATCCAAAAACTTGCAAACTTTATTATAAATTATGCCTGAGTCTGGGATTCCTTTTAAATTTCTAGACCTACATCTCTGTAATAATAATAGTATCAAGTCAAGAATCCCTACTCTTCTTTTCGAACAGTACTGAAAATGGAGGTTCTTTTTGTAGATTATTTTTTTATTAACAAAAATAAGATAATAAAATCTATGATTTAAATCAGTGGTTTTCAATCCTTTCACACCTGTGGGTCAACTTTGGTCAAGATTCACAGTTGAAAATAGAGTTTTCTATTCTAATAAAAAATTATTCACATTTCGCTGTTGTACAAAGTGAATACAAAAAGTTAAATGAACTCAGAATCTCTCAGTTAGTAAGTTTTTGTAAATTTAGCTAATAATTTCAACTATGCACTGAAATTTGTGAAACCTGTCAGTTGAGCCTAAAAATTCAGTTAAAAGTGGAAGAACTTAAGGGCCAATGTGACAGTACAGCGAATAGGGTGCTTACCTTGCAAGTGGTCTTCCTGGCACCACACATGGTTCCCCAAACCTTGCAAGGAGTGTTGTCTGTGGAGAAAGGAAGAAATCCAATGAGATACTGTTCATTTCTTATAGGCTTACATAGCCTTAGAGGGAAAAAAATCCCCATTGATCAGTTGATTGATTAATTAACTCATTTCAAGCCTGAAGTTTGATAGCTAAAGGAGACAAGAACCAAAAGCAAATCCCAAGTCCCTTCAATCTGTGTAACAATTTTTACACCACAGAGTACTTTTCTCTGTTTTCATGAACAGCCTGGGCTTGTTGCTGTGCTTGTTTATATCTAATATTTCTCTCCTTTCTCCCTGCAGTCGTCAAAATTTTATAGGCTTCAAGGTTGCCTTGAGTGATGCAGGAGCTGCTGAAGGCAAGCTCTTCTGGGACGATGGGAAAACCATTGGTAAGTCATGGTGCTCTGATTCACGTCCATCTCAGAGGCAAAGTTCCTTTGCACTGCATAGGCCTGCTTTCTCCTTTTCTAAGGTTACTGTTACTTAGCATTTTTAAATAGAGAATAACCGTGTATTACTTCTAAGTGTTTGACACATACTGTACATGATTTCTGTGAGTTAAGAAAGCTTAACTCTGAGTGACCAGATTTGCTGCGGAAGCAGTGTGGAAGCTGTAGGGAAAATCTTTGTCCCCTCTGAGAGATTCTTCTGTCTGGTTTCTGCTGAAGGACACATTTCCTAAGGACATAGTTCACTGGGAAAATAAAGAAGACGCGTGCGTCTATCTTGTGTGGGTGTTTTTAACTTGAAGCAATTCGCGAAATTTTAGGTAGATGATTCAAGCACTGCTAGCTATTTTCAGGCAAGTGACGTCCAATAGAACTTCTAACAATGATGGGAATGTTCTAGATCTCATTGCCAAAAAAATAGTCATTAAGCATATGTGTGTAATGGCACCTTGAACGCAACTAATGCATCTGGGGCCCTAAGTTCTTAATATTGTTTCATATTAATTTAAATTTTGTGAGTGGCTACTGTCTTTAAAAGCATAGCTCTAGAGTAACACTTGTTGCATTTTTGTTTTCTCATGACCCTTTTTCACCCACGAAATGTAGCACAGGGAAGTGGTATCTATGGTTTGTGACACGTTTGACTTGGAATTTACTTTTGGTCATTGCGTGTTCAGAAATTTTTTACTATTGCCAAATTGTTAGCAAGCCCACATTCAATCACGTGACCCCAGATGGGACTGGCGCCTTTGTTTTAGGAAACGAAGCTCTAGAGGATATCTGTTTTCCTTTAGATTTAGGTCAGCAAATTAGATGAGAAGCAACCACATGGGGAAGGGGCGGTGCCAAATGTAGAATGTAGCATGGAAAAGTCTGAAACATGTTTCTATTTAGGGAAATTTAATGGAGTTTCCCATGTCCCTGAACCTGTGGCATAAATGAAGAACAAGAGAGAAGGAAAACTTTTTTTTTATTCTTTGAAGATTGTATTTGAAAATTGCCTAAATACTCTTCAATTTAAACCGAGCAAGACTTCAGCTTTGGTGTTTGTGATCTGTTCACCTCTGAGTGTGCACATATGTATGCCCTAGCAGAAGGAGTCTGTCAATTCTGAGGTGACAAGGGAGCTTTTGATAGTGGTCGATCACAAGAAAGAAAAGAATTAAGAGTTTGTTTAGGAAACCACATGCAATGAGGTGACTTTGCCACACAGCTGCATACCTGTATACACTTATTGCAAACATTTAGTACAAACTGAGGCTGGGGGCACAGTCCGACTTTGCCCTCACAAAATAAACCTCTGTAGAGAATAAAAATGGCACAGAAAATGAACAAAAATCATGTCTACTTTCTCTACTAACAAGTAACTGATAGAATCTTAGAGCATAACTCGTGATGACAATTATTTTGTTGTTTGCAGATACCATTGGAAAAAAGAGCTATTACTTGGCAAACTTCTATGTCAGCGATGTAAGTGTGGCTGATAAACCAAGGGATAATGGAGTTATGCTAGTATCCTGGGGCTCTGCATGGCACCCAGGATTCTAGATGGTACTTGATGCTATGAGAATCTGAAGGGCCTAAGGTACCACCTACAATTCCTTCATCCCCCCCATTGGGAATTTATTTCATTTTTATTTCTTTTTTTAATTTAAATTTTTATTAGTGAAATACCATGAGGTACACTTGTAGACTTAGAAATTTTTGTGCTTGGGTTTCAGTTATACAATGATCAAATACCCATCCCTCCACCAGTGCCCACTCTCCACCACCACTGATCCCAGTATCCCTCCCACCTCCACCCCCCAATCCTCCCCTGCCTCTGTGGCAGGGCATTCCCTTTTGTTCTCTCTCTCCTTTTGGACTTCATTACTTTTTTAATATGCATTATTCACTCCTCTAAACTCAAGATGGAGATTTAGTTTGAACCTAGGGCAGTTTCTGTGATTAAGCCCAACATGTTTCATTGGTTACTTATGCCACACCTGCACAGACTGCATCTATATTACCTAACCCTTAGTCCTAAATTGCTATAGAATGACCTGCACATTTTATGATTTCTTCACATGTAGGGTTTCTGATACTGAGACTCTTTGTCTCTTTGGAATTCAGGGAAATGCCAGATATTTATCAGGCCCTCAGCCAACACAAAGTTAGAGGACAGATGGCAAGAAGGGATAGAATCTCAAAATCATAGCCTTCAAGGGCACTATCCAAGAGCATTAGAAGATAACTCTGACATTGTAAATGCCTACACTGTAAATTTTCTACATTTATAATTGATAAAAATAGGCTGGGAAGTACCGAAGATATTGCTCAGCATTAGAGCATAGATAGGGTTTCCATGTCTGTGGCCTTGGGTTCAATCTCTGATGTTGAAAAAAGAAAAAGGAAAAGTTGAAAGGGTTTTCTATTTTTACCTCCTCTAATTTCTTGTATCTCCTATTGACAGAACATGATGAAAAGTGACATAGTTTTCAACAACTACATTAGCGACTCAAACCCTCTGCTGCTGGGGTTCATTGATATCTGGGGAGTGGACAGCGCCTCCACAGCCCAAATCAAGATGACTGTTTTGATTAATGAGGTTGATACACAAGTTATAACACCCAAAGCAAGCTACAACTCTACATCAAAGGTTTGTACCACTGAAAAGTTCAATGGTATTTCCCAGTCCTGAGCTAGTTGTATAACTCCTATCTGACTCCCTTTCAATTTGGACGAGGTAACATTGAATGTGAAGAAATGTAAGGAATAATTTAACTTATATTTTTCAACTTTTCTGTATTTTAAATTCTTTAGTTTTTATTATATTTTTTATTATTTTATGTGTTATTGTTTTTAAGGGTAATTTCTTTCTTTGAAAATGATTTTTATTGAAGCATTGTGATTCTCAAAGTTATTTATGGTTGAATTTCAAGCATAAATTTTCCAACAACAAACCAAGTATTAACTTCCCACTACCAATGTCCCCAATCTCCCTCACACCCCTGGCCTGCCTCCTTGATGGGCACATTTTTAAGTGTCATGGCTGTAGTTTAGGTCTCATTCAGTCACTTTGTTCTTGTTGTTCTGTGGTTCAGATATTTACTGAGAACAATTAGCTCTCAGTAATTTGAGATAAACTGCCTCATCTTCAAACTGCCCCTTCCTCCTAGTCTGGTTGTCTCCTTTCTGTCTCCTTTTATTTCCCCCTTCAGTTTCTAACCTTCCCTATCATTCTCAGTTCTATAATCGAGGGACCAGGGTAAGCAAGCTATCTCTCCTTTGAAAACTTTCATTTTTTTGTCCTCTTATTCTATATACTACAGATAAGTGAGAACATCCAGCATTGGACTTTCTCCTTCTCATTCTATTTAGTATGATAGCCTCACTCAAGTTTCAGTGTGTTGTATCATTTCATTCTTTTTTTTTTTATTAGTGAAACATCATGAGGTACAGTTGTAGATTTACAAAATTTGTGCTTGGGTTTCGGTTATACAATGCTCAAATACCCATCCTTCCACCAGTGCCCATTTTCCAACACCATGGATAATATCCCCCCCTTGTCCCCCCCATTCCACCCTGCCTCTGTGGCAGGGCATTCCCTTTTGTTCTCTCTCTCCTTTTGGGTGTTATGGTATGCAAAAGAGGCATTGAGTGGCAAACATGTTCAGTCCATAGTCTACTTTCAACATGCATCTCCCCTTCTGGGAGAATCCTCCAAACACCCTTTATTTGGTGCTCCCTTCTCTATCTGAACTGCCCTTTCCCATAGAATACCCGGCTGGCCTCTAAGCTATGGAGTAATCCTCCTGATGTTGATCTCAGCTATTCTTGGGAATTAATCTCATATTTTGTTACTTTATATTCCCCAGATGAATGCAATCTTTCTATGTCTATCCCTCTCTTTCTGACTCATTTCGCTTAGCATGGTACTTTCCATATTGTACTACTTGTATGTAAATTTCATGACTTCATCTTTTCTAAGAGCTACATAGTACTCCATTGTGTCGATGTACCAAAGTTTCTTTAACCAGTCATCTGTTCTTGGGCATTCAGGTTTCTTCCAGTTTCTGGCTATTGTAAAGAGTGCTACAATGAACAAACAAGTGCAGATGTCACTTCGACTATACATTTTTGCCTCTCTGGGATATATTCCCAGGAGTGGTATTGCTGGGTCAAATGAAAGCTCAATTTCTAATTTCTTGAGAATCGTCCATACTGTTTTCCAAAAGGGCTGAACCAGTCGGCATTCTCCCCAACAGTGAAGGAGTGTCCCTTTCTTGCCACATCCACGCCAACATCAGTTGCTTTTGTTCTTTTGAATGTGGGCCAGTCTCTGAGGTGTGAGATGGTATCTCATTGTGGTTTTGATCTGCATCTCCCTGATGATTAATGATGTAGAGCATTTTCTCATGTGCTTTTTTTGCCATTTGGATTTCTTCTTTGAGAAAGTTTCTGTTCATTTCATTGCCCCATTTTTTGATGGGGTTGGATGTTTTATTCTTGTGCAGTTCAACCAGTACTATGTATATCCTTGATATCAATCCCTTGTCAGATGTGTATTTGGCGAATATCCATTCCCATTCTGTAGACTGTCTTTGTATTTTGGTCACTGTTTCTTTGGAGGTGCAGAAGCTTCTTAGTTTAAGATAGTCCCATTTATCTATCTGTTTTCACTTGCTCAGCCAGTGGCGTGGCATCTTTGAAAATACCATTAGCCTCAATGTCATGGAGGGTTTTGCCAACTTTGTCTTCAATGTACCTTATGGTTTCTGGTCTGATGTTGAGGTCTTTAATCCATTTTTATCTTACTTTTGTACATGGTGTTAGGCAGAGTTCTGAGCCCATTTTTTTGCATGTAGCCAACCAGTGATGCCAGCACAATTTGTTAAAGAGACTTTTCTTACTCCACTTCACATTTCTTGCACCTTTATCAAAGATTAGATGATCATATGATTGAGGGGAGATGTCAGTGTATTCAATCCGGTTCCACTGGTCTACAGTTCTGCCTTTGTTCGAGTACCATGCTGTTTTAATTATTACTGCTTTGTAGTACAGTTTGAAGTTAGGGAGGTTGATTCCTCCCATTTTCTTTTTCCCAAGAAGTGCTTTAGCTATTCGTGGGGGCTTATTGTTCCATATAAATTTCAGGAGTGTTTGCTCCATTTCTTTGTAGAATTTCATGGGTATCCTTATAGGAATTGCATTGAATTTATACAATGCTTTCGGTAGTATTGCCTTTTTGACAATGTTAAGTCTCCCAACCCATGAGCAGGGGATATCTTTCCATTTCCTCATGTCCTCTTTTATTTCCTGAAGTAGCATTTTGTAGTTTTCTTTGTACACGTCCTTTACATCCTTAGTTAAGCTGATTCCCAGGTACTTGATTTTCTGGGGCACAATTCTGAACGGGATTGTTGTTTTCATATAGCTTTCCTCTCTCTCAGTGTTTGCGTATAGGAAAGCCATGGACTTTTGTGTATTGATTTTATAGCCTGCAACTTTACTATACAAGTCTATTGTTTCTAAGAGTGTTTTGGTGGAGGTTATTTGGTTCTCTAAGCATAGAATCATATCATCTGCGAATAGTGAGAGCTTGATTTCTTCCTTTCCTATCTGAATGCGCTTAATATCTTTTTCTTGCCTAATCGTTCATGCAAGTACTTCCAGTACTATATTGAACAGCAGTGGAGAGAGTGGGCATTTTTGTCTCGTCCCTGAACTTAGAGGAAAGGCTCTCAGTTTTTCCCCATTGAGGATGATGCTTGCTGTAAACTTGTGGTAGATGGCTTTAACTATGTTGAGGAAAGTCCCCTCTATACCCATTTTGGCTAGGGTTTTCATCATAAAGGGGTGCTGGATCTTGTCAAATACTTTCTCTGCATCTATTGATATGATTATATGCTTTTTATCTTTTCTTTTGTTGATATGATGGATTATGTTGATTGATTTCCGAACGTTAAATCATCCTTGCATCCCTGGGATGAATCCTACTTGGTCATGGTGTATGATCTTTTTTATGAGTCGTTGGATTCTATTTGCTAGTAGTTTGTTGAGGATCTTTGCATCTGTGTTCATCAGGGATATTGGCCTGTAATTCTCTTTCTTTGTGGTATCTCTGTCTGCTTTTGGTATCAGTGTGATATTTGCTTCATACAAACTGTTCCGAAGTGTATTTGATATTTCAATTTTGTGGAAAAGCTTAAAGAGGATTGGGAGTAAAGGTAAAGGTAAAGGCCCTCCCGTTGATCATCGATTTGCTCGAGCGTGCCCAGTAACATCTCCATGGGAGACTTTGTTGTTACTGTGTCTGGCATATCGAATACTCTCGGTAGCTTGCCGGGCTCTCCGAGAGGGGCGGAGGAATCAAACTCGGGTCGGCCATGTTGTCTGCGTGCAAGGCAAACGCCCTACCCGCTGAGGGGCCTGTATTGCCTTAAAGTGGCGCATTTAGTTGTTCTTGTAACCATGGTTTTGAGTCTATGAAGTTTCTGAGCTGTTATTTGTCTGTGAAACTGTGTGTTATTCCTTCTATTATAAATGAGAGTCTCGCTGGGTAAAGTATTTTTGGAGAGGCATTTATTTCATTGAGTTTTTTCACTACGTCCCACCACTGTTTTCGGGCCATGAGGGTTTCATCAGAACAATCAGCTGTAAATTTTAAGGATGCTCCTTTGTAAGAGATTTCTTTCTTGATCTTGCTGCTTTCAGAATTTTGTCTCTGTCTAAAGTTTTGGTCATTTTGATCAGGATGTGTCTTCAGGTATTTTTATTCGGATTTCTTCTAGCTGGTACCCTTCAGGCCTCCTGAATGTGGTCACAAGTTTTCTTCAGCTCTGGAAACATTGTAGCAATGATGTCTTTGACAGTTTCTTCTTCATCAAGGTTTTCTTCCTGTCCCTCTGGGACTCCAATAATTCTCATGTTACCCCTCTTGGCTTCATCACGATCTTCTCTTGCCATCTGTTTCCGAACTGTGAGTCTCTTTTCCATTTTCTGCTCTTTTCTGGAGAGTCTCTGAACTTCATCTTCGAGCTCACTGATTCTGTTCTCAGCTGCTGTTACTCTGCTGCTGAGGCCTTCCAGTGAGTTTTTCAATTCGCCTACCAGGTTTTTCAGGTCCTCCATTTCCGATTGCATTTTCCTCATTTCTGCCTTCAAATCCTCTTGTCTTTTATTGGCATTGCTTTCCATTGTGTCTTTTAGTTCCCTAAGCATCCTAAGTAGCTGCCTTCTGAATTCCTTGTCAGAGAGGTTGTCTAACACTACAATACTATTGGTGTCTTCTGGGCTAGCCTCTTCAATAAGAAAGTTTGGTGGGCTTTTGTGTTGCTTTACCATTGTGACCTGTGTGGTTTAGTCCTTCACGTTCCCCGTTACTATTTTGGTTGAATGAGGAGAGAGTTACCGGAGCCGTTCAGCTTTGTTGCCACGAGGTGGGCCTGAGTTCCCCTCCCACGCAGATCAAGGGGGAAAACTGGCTGTTCTAGGGGATCGAGCTAGGTGCGCCTGCCCAGAGAGAGTCCCAAGTCCTGGGGACAAGCTGTACCTGGTTGAATGAGGAGAGACTGCCAGGAGCCATTCAGCTTTGTTGTCGCAAGATGGGCCTCAGTTCCCGTCCCGCAAAGATCATACTGTTCCCTCTTGTGGTGGGAAAGGATTTTGGATAAGGTTGGTCAATGGTAGGCACCCTTCTACCTTTCTGAGTCTGACCTTCTTCTCAATCAAGCATTATTCTTTGTTTTATAACCGACATTGAGTGAAAGTTTTGGAGGAGGTGCTATTTAGTACTGAGCTTGTACAGCTATTTTCAAGCAGAACTTTTGTTGGAAATGGAGTAGGCGAGTGGGATGTTGAATTGTAATAGAAGAGGTGAGAAATTTTTGGTTGGTATTAGGCGACAAGTTGTGGGATGAAATTCCTGAGTGCTTGGAGTGAGTGATATAACTGCGGCCGTGTAAGCGCTTGCCTGCGAGAAGGCCACGCCCACTTTGGGAGGCCACGCCCCTTTCTGGTGGCCACGCCCCCAGCCCATCCCAGGCCACTCCCACCCAGGATCCTGGAATGGAGGAAGGGTGGTGGACAGTCTCCCCACTGGGCTTTGGCGGGAATCGGCGCCGCGTGGCTGGGGGCAGAAGCGGCTCCCGGCTGGGCTCCCCTATCATTTCATTCTTGCAGCTGTATAGTATACCAGGGCTGGAGCGATAGCACAGCGGGTAGGGCGTTCGCCTTACAAGCGGCCAACATGGCCGACCCGAGTTCGATTCCTCCGCCCCTCTCGGAGAGCCCGGCAAGCTACCGAGAGTATTCAATATGCCAGACACAGTAACAACAAAGTCTCCAATGGAGACGTTACTGGGCCCGCTCGAGCAAATCGACGATCAACGGGAGGGCCTTTACTTTACTTTACTTATAGATATATCACACAACTTCATTGTACACTTGTCAATCATTGAACACCTAGGTTGATTCCATACCCTAGCTATTGTGCGAAGTATTGCTGTGAATAGTGGTGTGCATATGTCCTTTTCAGCGAATGCTTTTGTGTTCTGAGATAGATACCAAGAACTGAAATTTTTGGGTTATATGGCAACTCTTGTCTCACTTTTTCGAGAAATCTCCATACTGTTTTCTGTAAGGGTTGAACCAGGCAACATTTCCACCAGTGGTTCATGAGAGTTACTCTTTTGCTACATCCTCTTCAACAAATTGTTCTCAGTATTTATGTTATGTGCCAATCTTACTAGTGATATCTCATCGTTGTCTTGATTTGGATTTCCCTAATGATTAGTAATGATAAGCACTTTTTCATGTGCCTATTGGCTACTTGTCTGTCTTTTCATTTCCTCTCCCCATTTTTCTACAGGGTTTTTGGATTTTCTTTTACTTTGGTTGTTAGTCTTTGATAGCTCTTAATATATCTTGGATAGTAAACCTTTATCTGATGTGCTGGGTTCAAATATTTTCCCCCCATTTAGTTTGGTGTCCTTGAGTTTTAGCCCGTGTTTCTTTTACTATGCAGAAACTCTTTAATTTGATGTAGTCATATTTATTTATTTTTATTTCTGTTGCTTTTGCCAGTGGAATCATATTATTGAAAATACCTATGAGGTCTAAATGTTGGAGTGTTCTCCCATATATTCCACAGTCTACTTATTGATTTTATGGTCCTTGAACCACTTTAAATTGACTTTTATATAAGGTATAAGATAGAGATCCAGCTTCATGTTTTTAACATGTGACTATTCAGCTTTCCCAACCCAATATTTAATTCATGCATTCAGCTCCTTTGTAGAAATTAATTGACCACAGATCTGTGAGTTATTTTATGTATTCTCTTCTAACCCATTGTTCAGAGAGTCTGTCCCTATTCTAGTACCATGCTGTTTTGATCACCATGTCTTTATATTATAGTTTGAAGTTAAGTAATGAGATACTTACCAATTTATTAATTTTTATTTTGGATTTGGTAATTAAGAGTGATTTATGATTCCATACAGACTTTGCTATTATTTTAAATCATGGAAGAATGTCATCTGAATTTGGATGGGGGTTGTGTGAAATATATAAAATAATTTAGGTAGAATGATCATTCTGAAAACATTTATTAACTAATCTATGAACATGGAACGGTTATTCTATTCCCTAAAGTCTTCTTTTATGTCAAGTGGCTCATAATTATCATGGGGTAGATATTTTTATTCACTTCTTTGTTGACTCTGTTACTTGCTATTTGGGGCACTCCTCTGAATGGAGTGTATCCTTTGATATATTCTTCTTCTAGTTATTTATTTGCATATAGAAATGTGACATATTATTTTCTGTTGACTTTGTAGCTGATTACTTTGCTGTATTGGTTATTTAATAGAAATACACTAGCGGTGTTATCATTTAAGTAAAATATATGGCACAAATTGGGTAAGGTTTCTCTGAAAATCAGTTAGATTCATGATACACCATTTTTTGGTCCACCTCTAGTTGTGTTTGGGGGTAACTCCTGGTTCTGAACTCAGGAATAAAATAAAAGATAAAATAATGGACTCTTGATGGGCAATCAACCAGGAATAAGAGGCAAATAGGAGGAGAAGTAAGAAGGAGGGCTTTGAGGAAGGAAATGAGAACATGTTTTCCAATTTGACTCTTCAGTTACATATTATTGAGGAATATTCTTTCTCTATCACATAGCAATCATTGTACTCTTGTAAGAAGTTAAAAAACATCCTCCTTATCTGAAAATTCAAGGACAGTCTCTCAGCTTGGCAATGAATAATGAAAGAATCACTGTGTTGTAGAGACCAACCGCAAGTACTGAATTTGCTTGAGCACAGGAAATTTCAATCACTAGATGTCTAATACTTTTCCTTTGGTTTCCAACAGATATTAAGCATTACTGTGACCAATGAAAACATCAGCTTGCAAAACTTCGTTTCATTGACATGGTAAAACACTCTGTGAACTTTTAATAAGAGCCTATTCATGGATGGATTTCATACCCCTTATATTTCATGCTCATAAAATTATTATGTTAATTGTTTTATGATCTTCATTAGAAAAATACTTAAAATTTTTGTTCTATGTTTCTCTATGACCTATCATATAGGATTTCAGGGATGTGAGGAAATATTTGTGGGTTATTTTAATGTTTGTATATGATTAATTTGGTACTTATGGGTCTTCAGATAATGTGTACTGAAGATGTTCTGACGATTAAACATTTGTGTGTATAATCATGAAATGGGCCTAATTCTTGCAACTACACAAGGACACAGGGAAAAATGTGACATGACAGTGTCATGTCATGGAGCTACCTCATACCCCAGTAACGTATCCAGAAAGAACGTCTTTTATTTGCTTGTTGGGTGAGGGAAAAAATATGCTAAAAACATCATATTAAGATCAAGAAAACAAAACAAGGAAGATGAAAAGAAGCAGGATTAAAATGTTTGTGATAAGTAAGGAGGAAACACAAAAATATCATGGATAGTGACCTCACAGAGAGGAGAAAAGAGAGCCAACGCACTTGAGATGAAGAGTTTTGTGGACCAACACTTCAGTTCTATTGCCTTTGGCCTTCTGTTGCTTGCTTACAGTGTATGTTTATGTGTCTAGAGCTTCAGGGGAAAGGGGTGGATGGGAGGGACAATTGGGACTTTACTGGAGAGTAGGGGCACTCTTGTGGTGGGTGTGGTGTTGGAGTGTTGTACGCATGAAACTGTCATTAACAATATTATAAATCACAGCACCTTATTTAAAACATATTTTAAAAAAGAAACGCTAGTGGGAACTCTAAGCTTATAGGAATCAGGATGAGGATGAGATTTGAGCAAGAAAAAAACTGAAGATGTAATTTAGATGTAAAAAACTTTTTTATTTAAACGTACTTTCCTCTACTCTATGCCAAATGTATTCAACTGTAGTTGGAACAAATGCATATATTGTACTTTCCAGAGAAAAATAAAACAAGTGCAATTACAAGAAATTTTGACTTTTGTGGTATTTTGTGGTATTTTGACTTTTGTGGTAATCATTCTCCCTTTAAGATTAAGATTTCCTTTTGTTCAGCAAATCCTTGTGACCTTGTCTTTGCTATCAGAGTTTCTGCTATCTCCAATCACCAAAAAATAATTAGATTCATGATTATTTATACCTTTCTATATGCTTCTCATGGGGATATTCTTAATATGTAGGCATATAGAATCATGTTATTGGGTCTTTGTGGTTTTAATAATCATATAAAATATTATATTTGGCAAAATATCAACTGAAATATGAAACTTGTTACACAAATTGAACAAAAATGGTAATAAAATGTTTAAAATACATTACTAATTAAAACTTCAGTTAGGTAAATTACATATTAATGCTCAGCTGACACATTTTTGTTATGAATTAATAGATTGTTTTACTAATAGATATATTTCCATGCTCATGTCTTATTTTTTCTTTCAATATGAGAAATCTGCCTTTTGTTTGCATACTCAGTATTAAAAAAGGCAATGAAGAATAATATTGTTAAATTGACTAAATTTTATGAGTATCAAAATTAGTGTTACTGGGGTGACACAGTTCACAATAGTTATATTCATGCTCTAGATGTACAATATTACTGCACCATATCTTTCGTAAATTGCCCAAATCCCCCCTATTACTGTCATTATTTCCTTTCCCATTGTCCCCCACCCTTACCCCTGCTTAAGAAACCAAGCTCTGGGGGCTGGAGCGATAGCACAGAAGGTAGGGCATTTGTTTTGTATGCAGCAGACCCGGGTTCGATTTCCAACATCCCATATGGTCCCCCGAACACCACCAGGAGTAATTCCTGCATGCATGAGTCAGGAGTAACCCCTGTGAATTGCCGGGTGTGACCCAAAGAGCTAAACAAGAAAAAAAGAAAAAGAAACTAAGCTCTGTCTTCAGTGTCTAAGGGTTTATTTTCATTATATCCTGTCTATTATTCCCTTGGTTTCTTTTTTTATATAACTCCCTGGATGAGATCATCCAGTATTTATTTTTTTCTGACCTATTTTGCTTAGAGTAGCACTCTCTGTTTCTATTCATGTTTTTGCAAAAAGAAATAACTCCATTTTCCCCCTTACACTGAGAAATATTTTTCTATGTACGTATAGCCGACCCGAGTTCGATTCCTCCGCCCCTCTCGGAGAGCCCGGCAAGCTACCGAGAGTATTCGATATGCCAGACACAGTAACAACAAAGTCTTCAATGGAGGCGTTACTGGGCCCGCTCGAGCAAATCGACGATCAACGGGAGGGCCTTTACCTTTACCTTTTACGTATAGTACATCTTCCTTATTCATTATCTGTTATTGGGCATTTAGGTTGGTTCTATAGCTTGGCTATTGTAAATAGCCATCAATGAACATAGGTGTGTATGGTATCTTTTTTAATTAGTGTTTTGTGTTTGGGACATAAATCTTAAGGAACTGCTGGATCATGTGGTAGCTCCATTTTAATATTTTTGAAAAGTCTCCATAAATTTTTCCATAAAGGTGATTATGTTACAAGCCTCCTTCTACTGTATTCAAAATTATCATAATATTTATTTAATTTGGGGGCCACACCCAGAATTTTTGGGGGCTCACTCCTGTGGGCTCAGTCACCTCTGTGGTCAACTATTTGTGGCTATCTCATTCAGATCTCATTCTTTTATTTTATATCTTTGTAGGTCTGACAAAGTTAAAATGACAATCATAAGCCTTTTAACCTGGGAAGGAAGAAAGTCTTCTCTTATTAAAAGTGTCCTTGTTATGACTATCACAAATAACCATACAGAGTAGGGTGAATTGTTCTTAGCAGATGTAGTTCTAGTGCCATCAACATTTCATTCTTTTCATTGTAACTACCTCATTGGGAGGTTACCTCTGACTGTAGGATGGTGTCTTCCAGGTTAAGGGTCATAAATATTGTTGGTATATGATCTGATGAATTATTCCACCCATAACTCTCTTTGATCACTTAACTACTTCTGCCCATGCCTGACATCACGATACGATCACCATCACGATCATCTTGTTGTTTGTCTATTTCCTCGAGCAGGCACCAGTAACGTCTCCTTCTTCCTAGCCCTGAGATTTTAAAAGAGCCATTTCAATGCTCTTTCAGTATTAGGAGAATGGGACCCATCATTGTTACTGGTATTTGGCATATTGAATACGACACGGGAGGTTTGCCAGACTCTGCCGTGTGGGTAGGATACTTTTGGTAGCCTGCCAGGTTTTCCAAAGAAAAGATAAGATAATAAGATGTCGTGATACATCACGTTGCATTCTTCCTTATAATGACACGTCACGATACATGTCGCGATACATCATACTATGATGGCATGTCGCAATACATCACGATACATTCTTCCTTATAAACAAGGGGAAAACACTAGGTCACATACAGTCTTCTGTCCTGGAAATATATTTTTATCAATTTCCCACCGGTCGCCACAAGCATATGACCCAATAACTTTCAGTTTGCAGGAAAGAATGGTAAAGCACTTTAGAAAACAGGCTACAGCTAGAATTGTGTATTAGCATGGTGATATGGATGCTATCACAAAGGGACTCAGGATACAGGGGAGTTGGGTATCACACAAAAAATAGAAAGATCTTATGTAGCAATTTCATTTCTTGACCTTTGGTCAAACTATCATATAAAACTGAAAACATAGCCAGGTATGTCTTCCCTCTATCAAAGGCTCTTTTATACTGGAGCAGAAGATAAGATGGATTTGTCATTCCAGGAATTCATAACGGCAGAAAGCTACTTTCTCTTACTCATGCTCTATTTCTATCTCTTCTTCTCCTGACAAACACTGAGCACTTCAAAAAAAATTGGATTACTATGGGAACCATATTACTTATGAGCCTTAGGTCCTCTTAAGAGAGGGAATTCTCTCATAAATTTCTATAGGTATATATATGCAAATTTTATTTATATAAACACTATGTATCATTTATAGTTGGTAAGTAAGTAATATGTTGCAACCACTTTGGAAAAGAATTCTGCAATTTCTCAAGAAATTAGAGTTCCCGTATGATCCATAAATTCCACTTAATATACCCTTAAGAAAATTGAAAATATATGATCATACAAAAATGTGTACATTCATAATTCATAACTAACTTGTTTATATGAGCCAATTAAGAAAAATTCCTACTTTATATAAGTCAATGAGTCAATAAAAATGTAGTGTAACAATATGGCAACTAATATCAATAATCACTTAATCACTTAATCACTTAATCCCCGTTATTCATCAATTTACTCGAGCGGGTGCCAGTAACGTCTCCATTCATCCCAGTTGTGTGCTAGCATAGCCCAATGGTATCTGTTCGTTCTAGAAACATGCAGAGCCTCAAACGATCATTCAGGGTCTTGACGAAGAAGTCTGACCATCTTGTAGGTGGGCATCCACGTGATCTTTTGATGTCCTGTGGAATCCAATCAGTAATGGCTCTAGTCCAGCGGTTGTCTGTAAACCTCATTACGTGTCCAGCCCATCTGATTTTTGATGTCTTGGCAAATGAGACAGCGTCCCTGATTCTTGAGCGTTGACGAAGACCAGAACTCCGGATTCTATCTCTCATTTGAGTGAATTGTGATATTCCAAGCATAGCTCTTTTGATTCCTCTTTGAGAGACACGAATAGCGTTCTCATCCTGTTTTTGTAGGGTCTAGGTCTCTGAGGCATAGGTTAATGCAGGAAGAACAGTGGGATCAAAGAGATGTGCTCGTAGCTGGAGGTTCATTGTCCTTTTAGTTATTTCTTCAATGTTCTTGAAGGCATTCCAAGCTGCTCTCTTCCTCTTGCACAACTCAGGTGCCAGGTCATTCATCATGTTGATTTCTCAACCTAGGTATATATAACTGTTGCATTCGGAGATGGTGGTTCCGTTGAGAGCGAATGGAGCGTCAGGAACAAGGCTGTTTCTCATAAACATTGTCTTCGTAAGATTCAGCTGTAGTCCAACATTTCCACATTCACGGTCAAAGTCGTTCAGCATTTGTGCCGCTTGGCTGATAATTGGTGTTATTAGAACAATGTCATCAGCAAAGCGGAGGTGGTGTAGTTGCCGACCATCTATCTTCACTCCCATGCTTTCCCATTCCAGTCGTCGCATGATGTTCTCGAAGGTGGCACTGAAGAATTTTGGTGAAATGGTATCACCCCTGCCGAACCCCTCTCTTGATATGGATGATTACTTCTTTGTAGAATGGTGAGATCTTGGTAGTGAATCCGCAATAGAGCTCACGAAGAATCCTGATGTATTGAGTTTGTACGCCCTGATTGGCTAGGGCTTCCATGACCGCTTCCGTCTCAACAGAATCAAAGGCCTTCTTTAAATCAATGAACGTTAGACAGAGTGGCATCTTGAACTCCCGAGAAACCTCAATGAGCTTAGTAATCGTGTGGATATGGTCGATGGTACTGAATCCTTTTCGGAATCCGGCTTGTTCACATCGTTGTCCTTCATCTAGTGTTCTGCTAATCCTATTCAGGATGACTAAAGTGAACAGTTTGTAGACCACAGACAATAGGCAGATTGGGCGATAGTTGCCAATGTTGTGGATGTCTCCCTTCTTGTTTAGTAGTACAGTCCTGCTGGTTTTCCATTGGGAGGGAACCTTGCATTCAGACAGGTAGCGTGTGAAGAGCCGAGCCAGTGTATTGATGAGTATACTGATGGTAAGTTCTTCAGGTGTTCAGGTCTGATCTTGTCTAGGCCAGGTGCTCTTTGTTTCTTTACCGACGAGATGGCATGTTGGATTTCGGAAGGGAGAACATTGGGAACGACATATTCATCATGTGGTATGTGGTATGTGGGTAAGTGAATGTGGCTATTAAAGAGATCTGTGTAGAATTCATGAATAATCTTCTTCATTGCCCTTCTGGAAGATGTGATAGATTCATCATGATGTCGAAGGGCGGTCATCTTGGTTTTGTAGTTGGTGAAGGACAGGCGGGCATTATGAATGCTTTTCCCAGCTTCTGCCACATCCACCAGTACTGCTGCTCTCCTGTTTTTGAGGTCATCCTTGATGGCTTCTCTGCGCTCTTTTGCCAGTTCTGATGTTCGCTTGTGGTTGCCTGAGGCATGTGCCAAGCCACGTTGGCGAATAAGTTCAAGAGTGTTCGAAGAAAGGTGGTTTTTTGTGGTTATCTCTCTCTTGGCATTCCTCGGACAATCATGGAGGTGCTGAATCACTCGATCGTATTCCTCATCAATGTTGTCAATGACGGCATCTTCCCATGTTGCCACAACAGAGCTAAAGAGCTCCCAGTTGGTAGTCGTTCTGGGAATCCTCTTCTTAAACCTTGCATTCTTTTCTCCTCGTTCTGTGAGGTAGAATTTTGCATGAAGAAGACGGTGGTCTGATCCCGTTTGGAATTTTGGGACAAAAGCAACATCGGTTAGGCAAAACTGTCGATTGAATATGATGTGGTCTACTTCATTGTGGAACCGTCCATCGGGAGACTCCCATGTCCAATGTTTAGATTCAGCCTTTTGGAACTGTGAGTTACCATGGAAGGTTTTGGTTGACATGATGAACTCAGACAGTCTGTCACCCTGTTCGTTCCATTCTAGGCCATGGGTCCCGATGTGGAGTTCATCGACTGATCTTGGTTCTATCTTGGCATTAAAATCACCGACAATGATCGTGTAGAAGCTGTGATCTTCTTTATAGAACTTCTCCAGCTCCATGTAGAACTTCTCAGTTTCTCTTTCACCATAACTGGATGTTGGTGTATAGACAACAAAGATAGAAACTGCTAGTAGTGAGCCACATCTATTCAAGTGTAATCGTCCGATTCAGGTTGTTAGACATTCGAATGAATCAATGCTCGTGGCTAAGTTTGTGTTGACAAGGATACCGACACCACCGACGCCTCTTTTATCACAGGTTCCAAGGAACAGTTCTTTTCCAGTGTTGAAAACGGCATGCTGTGATTGATGTCTTCTCATTTCGGTCAAACCAATGATGTCATACTTGATCTTTCGCACTTGTACCATAAGGTCTTCAATGGATGCATCAGATGCCAGCGTACGAGCGTTAAAAGTACAGACAATCATTTTTGTTTTTATTCGTTTTTGCAGCTTATTTCTGCCTTGGTATTTTATCAGTCTTTCCTTCCATATCCTTCTCGACTCTGCCATATTCAGGGTTAGGTGAATGAGATCCATTTATTACTGGATTTGGCATATCAATTTGGTCTATTTGGCATAGACCACGGATAGCTTGCCAGGCTCTGCCGTGCGGGTAGGATATTTAAAGGTACCCTGAAAACTTAGAGAAAAGTAAATAAATAGTTCGCTCTCGGAGCTTGTTGTGATAATCTCTGGATCCTGGCCGTTGTTGGGGTTACACGGCAGTTGGAGGGTGTAAGTGTCTAGCTACTGACAGGTCCAGTCCCAAACCGTGCAGGCTTGGAGATCTCAGCCCTGGGTCCCACACACCTGGGTTCCTCTGCCAGTTCTGTTATGCCTGAGGCTTATCCAAGTGTGTGGAGCGTGGCCTCAGTATGGCCTTGGTTGGGGCCTGGAGGTCTTCAGCTGCTGGGCCCTGGCGTGGATAGTCAGGCACAGGGTAGGAGACTCTGCCTTGTGCTCTCCCGGGAGCTTGTTGTGATAATCTCTGGATCATATCAATAATAAAAATGAATAAAGTACCTTTAGGTGTCTGACATCTGAAAAAAAATGAAGACTAAACTAAAAAAAAAATTACACTATGCCATGTGAGGCCAAGATAAGCAGAACAAGATAAGCGAAACTCTCTGAGACCTTGGACTCCAGGCTCGGCAGACCCAGGGACAGAGATTCTCTGCTTGCTCCCACCAACCACAGGTGACAAAGGGATTCTAATCAGGAGCCCCATGCTACCCTGCCCTGTCTGCTTCCACCAACCACCGAGGGATCGAATTGCACACAGAAGACCCACCCTACCCCTACCGGAACCAGATAAATACACCACTGGCAGACACTACAGACACTACCTCCACTACCCAGATGCTGCCACACTCCAGGACACTTTCCGGACCCGCGCAGCCACTTTGGGGCTGCGCAACACATCATAAGACACTAAATACCCATCTTCCAGAATTGTCATACCATATTTGACAGGGTTCAAATATGATAACACCTATGAGAGCGATTAGAGGTCGCCCTAAAAACCTCTATCCCTCCCGGAAAGACTGGCAAGCTACCGAGAGTATTCCGCCCGCACGGTAGAGCCTGGCAAGCTATGCGTTGTGTATTCGATATGCCAAAACCAGTAACTACAACTGGTCTCATTCACCTGACCCTGAAGGCTTCACCAATATGGCAGCACTGAGAAGGATGAGAAAGGAGAGGCCAATAAAATCTCAAGGCCGACCTAGGCTGCCACAACGAAGGAAGACAAAAATGATCGTCTGTACTTTCAATGCACGTACGCTAGCATCAGATGCATCCATCGAGGACCTGATGGTACAAGCGCGAATGATCAAGTACGACATCATTGTTCTGACCGAGACAAGAAGGCACGAATCTCACCATGCCGTTTTCGACACTGGAGAAGAATTGTTTCTCGGAACATGCGATAAAAGAGGTGTTGGAGGCGTCGGTGTCCTTGTCAACACAAACTTGGCCATGAGCATTGATTCATTCGAATGCCTAACAACCCGAATCGGACGTTTACATTTGAATAGATGTGGCTCAATGCCGGCAGTTTCTATCTTCATTGTCTATGCACCAACATCTCATTATGATGAAAGAGAAATTGAGAAGTTCTACATGAAGTTGGAGAAGTTCTATAAAGAAGACCACACCTTCTACAAGATCATTGTGGGTGATTTTAATGCCAAGATAGGACCGAGAAGATCAACTGAAGAACTTCACATCGGGACCCGTGGCCTAAAATGGAACGAACAGGGTGAGAGGAGACTGTCTGAGTTCATCATGTTGACCAAGACCATCCATAGTAACTCACAGTTCCAGAAGGCAGAATCTAAACATTGAACATGGGAGTCTCCTGGTGGACGATTCCACAACGAAATAGACCACATCATATTCAATCAATGGTTTTGCCTGACCGATGTCACTGTTGTCCCAAAATTCTGAACGGGATCGGATCACCGTCTCCTTCATGCAAGATTCTACTTCACAGAACGGGGAGAAAGGGCTGCAAAGTTTAAAAAGAGAACTCCCAGAATGACCACCATATGGGAGCTCTTTGGCACTATTGCGGCAACATGGGAAGATGCCATCGTTGACAACATTGACGAGGAATACGATCAACTGGTACAGCACCTCCCTGAATGTGCGAGGAACGCCAAGAGGGAGATAGCCACAAAAAATTGCCTGTCTTTGAAAACTCTTGAGCTTATTCGCCAGCGTGGTTTGGCGAATGCCTCAGGCAACTGCACGCTAAAGTCTGAGCTTGCAAAGCAGTGTAGAGATACGATAAAGGAAGACCTCAAAGAGAGAAGAGCAGAAGTGCTGGTAAATGCGGCAGAAGCCGGGAAAAGTATTCGTAATGCCCGCCTGTCCTTCGCCAACTACAAGACCAAGATGACTGCCCTCCGACGTCCTGATGGATCCATCACATCCTCCAGAACGGCAATGGAGAAGATTATCCATGACTTCTACTCAAATCTCTTCGATAGCCATGTCCACTTGCCGACATACCAAATTCCACAGGATGGATATGTCGTTCCCAACGTTCTCCCTTCCGAAATCCGACATGCCATTTCGTTGGTTAAAGAAACAAACGGCACCCGGCCCAGACAAGGTCAGACCTGAACACCTGAAGAACCTGCCGTCAGTACTCATCAATACACTGGCTCGGTTCTTCACTCGCTACCTGTCTGAATGCAAGGTTCTGTCCCAGTGGAAAACCAGCAGGACCGTACTACTGTTCAAAAAGGGAGACATCCATGACATTGGCAACTATCACCCGATCTGCCTATTGTCTGTCATTTACAAGTTGTTCCATCGAGTCATCCTAAATAGGATTGGCAGAACACTAGATGAAGGACAACCATGCGAGCAAGCCGGGTTCCACAAAGGATTCAGCACCATTGACCATATCCACACGATAACCAAGCTCATTGAGGTTTCTCGGGAGTTCAAGATTTGAACTCTGTTTAACGTTCATTGATTTAAAGAAAGCCTTTGATTCTGTTGAGATGGAAGCGGTCATAGAAGCCCTAGTCAATCAGGGCATTCAAGCCCAATACATCAAGATCCTCCGTGAGCTGTATTGCGGATTCACTACCAAGATCTCACCATTCTACAAAGAAGTAATCATTGATGTAAAGAGAGGGGTTTGGCAGGGTGACACCATTTCACCAAAACTCTTCAGTGCCACCCTCGAGAACATCATGCGACGACTGGAAGGGAAGGAATGGGAGTGAAGATAGATGGTCGGCAACTACACCACATCCGCTTTGCTGACGAAATTGTTTTAATAACTCCAAACATCAGCCAAGTGGCACAAATGCTGAACGATTTTGACCGTGAATGTGGAAAGGTCGGACTACAGCTGAATCTTACGAAGACAATGTTTATGAGAAACAGCCTCTCAACGGAGCGAACATCTCCGAATGCAACAGCTATGTGTACCTAGGTCGAGAAGTCAACATGACAAATGACCTGGCACCTGAGCTGCGCAGGAGGAAGAGAGCGGCTTGGATCGCCTTCAAGAACATCGAAGAAATAGCTAAGAAGACGAAGAACCTCTGACTCTGGGCACATCTCTTTGATTCCACTGTTCTTCCTGCACTAACATATGCCTCAGAGACCGGGCCCTTTCAAACAGGATGAGAACGCTATTCAGGTCTCCCAAAGAAGAATTGAAAGAGCTATGCTTCGAATATCACGTTTCACTCAAATGAGAGAAAGAATCCGGAGTTCTGACATTCGTCGACGATCAAGAATCAGAGACGCTGTCTCATTTGCCAAGGTGTCAAAAATCAGATGGGCTGGTCACGTAATGAGATTTAAAGACAACCGTTGGACTAGAGCTGTTACTGACTGGATTCCACGGGATGTCAATAGACTGTGTGGCCGCCCACCTAGCAGATGGTCAGACTTCTTCACCAAGATCATGAACGATCGGTTTGAGGCTCTTCATGTTCCCAGAGTGAACAGATTCCATTAGGCTACACTAGCACGCGACAGGGACAAAAGGAGATGTTACTGTCGCCCGCTCGAGCAAATCGACGACTAACGGGAAGTTAAGTTTTTAAGTTATGTGAAGACAGACATATATAATGCCAGATACAAATGGCTATAGAATCTATTATTTCATTCACATAAAATGCTCAAATAGCCAAATCCAGAGACAAAAAATAAAGTAATGGTTGAAGAGACAGGAGACAGTGAAATAGGAACTGCCTGCTAGTGAGGATGTGACGTTTTGGGTGGGTAAAGAAATACTTTGGGATTCTACTATAGTAATGAGTATGCTAAATAAACTTGTGGTTATCTCAGGTATGCAGGACTTGTGACTGAAAAGTCCAGGCTCAAGAGAACTGGGACTGGGTGCCTTCCCCTCATCTCCCCCCTTTTTTTCTGGTAGCTTCGCAGTCATACCCACAAGTTGCTGCTAGCACCATATAATCTCAATAACAGCCATAATCCAAAGACTCAATAGAAATCTCTCGGAAGAGAGCATAAAACTAGAAACCATAGCCATACCAACAGATCCCATGCCAAGCTGTTTCACTCGAGACAACCCAGAGGGGTTCAGGTGGGACCCCTCCCTGCCCCAATGGAGCCAGCCCCGACAGGCAAAAACCTCCACAACTCAACCATAATCATGCTCACAGCCACTCTCCACATGCTGAGGCAATGCCCCCCCTATGATGGAATCTATTCCTGGACATCTCATACTTTACACCACCAATACACTAAGATTAGTACACCACATTTGATGGGTTTTAAAGTAGAAGGCAACCGGGGGTATGGTGCTGCCAGCAGGTCAATCTGTACCTGTGAGGCAAGTGCTTCAGCAGCCTGATGGCACCTTCAGACTTTCAGATACCCCAAAATTGCTGCTGTGCCTTTGGCCAGACCCCCAAAACTTGGGGCAAAGTTTACCAAGAAAGTAAACGGCCAAAAGTTAGGTATGTGGGAGA